ACCGACGTGGCCACGTCTGAATCCTAATGCTCGATCCGTTTGGTTTATCATGAGGTTGAAAAGAAACTCTATACATATATATGTATGTGTGTTTGTGTGTGTGTGTATGAATGAATGAGGAGAGAAAAATGAAAAGATATACACAATCTTAAACAACTGAAGAGATGATTAAACTTAACGTACACACGCGTGAAATAAAAATTGAATGTTTTGGTTGGTGTCTAGCGTTGCCGAGAAGTAAATTGTGTGGGCTTTGATCATCTTCGTAAGTGGTAGATATAACTAACTCATATTTCTGAAAAATGATATAAAGAAGAAAAAATTAATAGATGTTTGGTTTAGTTTTAGGAACATTGATATCGTTAAACTAAATTTGCTTTTGTCTTTGACGTTTGTGGTTCCTGAATATTTTAACATGTGATTAAGGTTTATTTGTGAAAAAATACTCATGATACTATACGACGGCGATAGTTCTTTCATCCTTAAAAAAGTAATCATCTTTTAGCTCTTGCGTTCGACTTTGAAATACCCGGTTGTATTATTTTCCTTCGATCCAATTTATCAAATGTTTTATTTATTTATTATTAGATGCGTGTAAAATTTCAATGTATTTATTTTACGTATTTGGTTATACTGTTTTAAATTAAAATATCACATACTAAATAACATACATGTTTTTATTTTTATTTTTTTATCGGATGTCCCCGAAGGGACACATACATGTTTTTATCTAAATTAGATCTTATAAAATAGACAAAGGGAATAAATTTACACAAAAAGATAGATACAAGAATAAATTTATACGACAAAAATTTCTATGTTGGGAGTATTTTTGTATTATTATTAGTTTTTTTTGTCAATTTATTGTAGAACTAAATAAAAAAAAAAAAAATCATTATCTGCAACATTTATTTTGTCAACATTTATTTAACTTTTTTTTTTTTTAATGTTGGTATTGAAAGAACCCGGTTTAAATTAATTTCGGTCAGATTCGTTAAACCCAATGGGAAATCCCGAAAACTCACAACAATGGTGGCGAAGAATCAAATCGATGACTGTGTTGTCATGTTTGATTAATGGAAGCTAAACTTCTCCATCGCCTCATCAATGATCCTCCAAGTCTCTCCGTTGGCCTCATCGAAACACAGTGTTAGAGGTTAAATCTTGGTTAACTTTGGTTAATAGAAATTAGAATTGATTTCCGGTTTAATGTCGTAACCAAGCTCATATAAAGCTTGAGTATACGTTACTTTACTGTTTAAGCTTTGTAACAAACATTTATACGATTGTTAAGCTGTTCTTCTCTCCTCCGTCGTTTTCTCTCTTTTCCGGTTAATCAGTACATTCAATACACAGAATCTTCCACCGTCTTCTTCTCCTTCGGTGGATAGAGAAGCGACTGGAATTATAAGAATCAGAATCAGTAGGCTTGAGAGAGTGAGAGAGTGAGAGAGTGAAAAAAAACCCATACTACCTCTATGGAGATTGTTTGCGCGTTCAAGACTGATTGCTGCATTTTGTAAGTTTTTGCCTTCTGAGTTCTGAGATATGCTTTTGGAGAATTTGGTTACTGGCTTGAGCTTTTACTCTCATGTAAAAGAAAAATTGGTAACATAATGTTTCTTTCTCTCTTAGAGTCAGGGGAAGCAACTGATCTTTTAAGTAAGGTTTAATTACATAGCTCATTATGTTGATGGCTCAGAGAGGTTCTCAATAATATTAGGGAAAAGATTGTTTTTTTTTTTTAGTGGTGCCGAGCATGGTCTTGTGTGTTTCTGTACTTTGATTCTTCGTGGTGCCGAGTATGGTTTTACTTTGTTGATGCTTTTATCAATTAAATCAGGAAGTCCTTGCTTTGTTGTTCATAATTCTATTAAAACCTGAAGCACTTGAAGGAAGAAGCTTTACTGATATTCCAAAGCAGCTACTCCCACCAGAATTTTGCTATAAGTAGATGAAAAGGTACTAATTCAACTACTCTTAACAATACTTTCTGTTTATATAAACTCACTTCTTATGAGTGTTAGTGTCATTTATTCATCACATGTTCATACCACAAGTCTTATGAAAAAGCATATATATACTTAGGATACTTCACAAAAAAACACAAAACATAGGCCAATAATCACTTCATGACATCACAATCTTTACATATACTCACATACACGTCTTAGAAGCTTCTTTGCTGATTCTAACCTGTTCCATCGTCTCCACCACTGCCTCCCCCGTTGCCACCCCAATTGTCATAGTTTTGTCTTGGAATGTTATGATGGTTGTCTACTCCTCTTGTTAATGGAATGACAGATTTGTCCTTCTGGACATGGTGAAGCCTCTGATCTTTTGTGTTTATCCCTCTCCCTCCACCCTCCACAATGAAAGAGCTCATAACCACCATTATTACCACCACCATCACCAACACTTGCCTTCTCTGAATTTTCATTTCTGTTTTAGTTTTGGTTCTTCCAATGCCTTGTCCTTTTTATAGAAGAAGTTAGGTTTAGGTATGCGAATTCTTTCAACTGTTTTCTGTGTGTTCCACTAGGAAAAGACAAAATAAAAGATTGAATTATTAGCCTTTCATTGATGTGTTTGTTTGTTATTGTTTTGTGACTTGTGACGATTGATACAATAATCAAAAGAATTATAATCATTCGTTCAAATAGGAAAGTTCCACCGTTAAAGTGGTGAAGAAGACACAAGAATCAATGAGAAGAATTGGTTAGTTGCCCGAATAGGAAACTTCCACCATTTTTTTATAGTGGATCACCTTCTATTCATACATTCATATTTGTCTGTGTACTTAAAAGTCAATGGGATGGTAACAACTTACAAAAAGTAAAATTTTCAAACAATTTGCATGATGTTAATTCCATGATTTCTTTGTTCTTTCTAATAGCATGCGATGATGGCCGAACAAGTTGATGACAAGTGTCTCTCCCACAGAATTATCTACACCCACAAAACAACCATCTGAATCATTGTCCTACTGATAGGTTCAGGATTTGCTATGCTAAATGATCATTTACAAATAACTTACTCTGCTATTAACATCAAAAGAGCCAAATCATTTAGAGAAAGCAACCATCATGCATTGAGTGTGTTTTGTGGGCTGCTAATTGCTCACAGGGCTTGAATAATATTTTTGAAACGGCTTAGTTAAGCCCCATGAGGAAATTTGAAATGGAATGAAATGTATATCTCAACTCCTTAATTTGAGGATAACCCTGTTAGTTTCTTCGTCTATCTCAATACTTTGTATGCATAGTTTGCAGAGCTTTTTATGGCTATGTTGATATTTAAGTTGATAATAATTCATCAGTTACAAGTCATCTAATTCTACTGCTGTGACACTCTTTTGACTTCATCTTCTTCTTAGCACATTGCATCACATGCCTTGAGCTCAAGTTTCACAATGTCTACACTATAAGGACTTTGACTCATCTTTATGTGTTTCCTCCTTTGATCTTTGCATTCAGTGCCTTCCTCAAAGTCAATGATCTTTGGTCTGACATGGTTAATAACGATGATGTTGATGATGTTGCAGGGATGTAGAAGCTGCGTTGAAAGTGAAAGGCGGGGTTTGTTAGAGCTGAAGGCCTATATGATCTCGGTCATTATTGATCCATGTTTAGACATTCATCGAGGATGGATGAGTAGTGATCGTTCTTGTTGCCCTTGGAGAACGTGTGATTGGAATCTCCCTATCCTTAGAATCCATACATTCCCATGATCCTCTTCCTCTACTGAAGAACCTAAATGTTTTCCATCCCTTTGAAGAGCTTCAGAGTCTCAACTTTTCGTCAGGATACTGCAAAGGCTGGTTCGACGAAAGAATAGGTCTGTTTACTCACGTTTTCATTTTTGTTAGTATTTCTAAGTCCTCTTACAATGTAAAATTCTTTTCTGCTTCTAGGTGGTGAGGGCCAGGGAAGTTTCAGGAAATCTTGAGACTCTGGATCTCGGTAACAACTCTTATGGTAGCAGACTAGCAGTGTCTTGCCATACTTGAAGGAGGCTGTGTCGCTCAAGACTTTGATTCTCCAAACTCCATGACAACTTATTTGACGGTGGCTTTCCTGTTTAAAGTTGGTACTCCTGAAATTATTAATACTCACATAACAAAAGCTGTAGTCAATACAATTTTATGTGTACTCTCTGCAAAAGTTTAAATGAATGTAGAAACAATCAGAGACTGAATTGGAGAATGAATTGGTGTATGATTGTTAAATTAAAATAACTAATGAAAATAAGAATAAAAGAACATTGAGAGAAGAATATAGCTACTGCCTCCCAAAATGAAGCATGGGGGAGACTTAAAGAGTTGGTTGGAAAATGGAATGTTGTATGATCAAATTTAAATTAAAATACCATTTACTTTAGACCCTTTAAAATCACCGAACCTCTTTATAGACCTTTCTTGAGTCCAGTGATTATCTATTACAAGTTGTCCTGTTATCCTTACCAAAATCCAAACTAAAATGTTTCACTATTTCTAGTTCAAATCTTAACTATACAATAAAATTAGCTTATGGTATTCATTAGTCATGACTCATGTTATATTGATTTCTTATACAAAAAAATAGAGCTTCAAATATTTTGGCACTGAATACTGAAAGAGTGATATAAAAATGGAAAAAGAATGACAGCTTGTAACTGTGGAAAGACACATGGGAAAGTCAAATCAAATAATAGTGGCAGTGGTTGTGTGAGAAGGTATGGCTTCCTCCTCAATCCTCATCTGTATGCCTCTCTAATTTTATTTTTCTTCCAAAATAATAAAAAGTCACAATAGCAAGGTTTTAGATTTTTTTTAGGAAATTGAATGATCCGAGTATGATAAAGAAGAACATTACACATATACTCCAACTTCATCCTATTCAATGATGATGTAAGCAATATATTCATCACTACGACATCAATGCTATGATTTGTATCTCAAAATACAATTTCATGTTCGTATGTAATATAGTGTTTCATATCTTTGTTATGTTAAACGTTTATCAAACTAAAGGTTAAACCGAAAGGGCAGATAAAATTCATTTCTTTTATCAAAATCATTCTAGTGTATTCTTGAACCCAAAATCATTCATCCTCATTACTCGAAGGAGTTTATTCGTAAGAATTATGAGTGAGACTCTAGAAAGACAAAACATCATAATAGCCTCAAGCACGTTCCCACAATAAATTTCATGCAGAAGGAGCCAGCCTAGTTTATAGAATGGCCCTCATTCTTATCTCGAACCAGCTCTTGAACCGTCCCGGGTCTAGTGATACATCAGTTCTGTCTGGTCCAAAGGCTTCTTTGCAATAGATTCTAAATTTTATAATCATCAAAAGTTAGGGAGGTAGAAAATTATATTTAGTTTTATAAAGAGTTTGATGATGATATGTGTAGTTTGTCTAGCTCAAAGATTAATTGAATTTGTTCCAAAATTAGAATCAGACATAAACCAAAAAAAACCTACTATTGATTTTTTGAGCTAAAACATTATTTTGTTCAACATCAAACAAGCTTAATTTTAGATTTGGTCCTAGCTAGTTGACACCTATTGGGGGAAAAAGAACATACCATAGGCTCATCTGCATAAGTGGATGTGTAAGAAAGAATGATTGCTCTTCTCATACTCAGCTATATTTGGGGGGATGAATCTGAAATCGTAATGAATATAGTTTCTCTCTGCTCTGTTCTGTTCTGCTTCCCAATCATATTGGACCCTGCAAAAACTGACACTTCTTCTTTATCAGACTCTACACTTGCAATCCATGCATTATAAACCCTTTTCACCCAACCCCTAGAGATTACCAAAACCCAAAAACAAAAACAAAAAAACAGACCTATGTAGATAGATTACTATCACATATACATTCACATAACCATTAAATCAATCTTCACATGCAGAGATCTCCCTAGGGATTATATCTTATCAAATGAACTTTGGATTTGTACAGATAATCTAAGGCTAATTCAAGAAGTTCACTTCAACTAGAGACTTGATCTTCAAGAACTCACCAAAAAGATCGAGTAAATTTTTCAAGCCATGAATCATAAAATCGAGATCACACTTTATCCAAGAAGATTTAAAAACCCATCACTCTTATCTTTCTTATGTGGTGGGGTCTTATAAGCCTTAGTCCCCATGAAAATCAGTTACAAGTGAAGAAGAAGAAAAAAACATTTCTTAATAGCAAATGTAATAATGCAATGCATGTTCGTACAATTTCAGTTTTATGAAGGAAAATAACGGAACCGCACGAGTGATGAAACCAAATGGCCAAAACAATTATCATGCATGATTTAAAAGCCCTCGTGATGTATCTTATCATAATATATATAAAAAAATCTTGCCCATATCATATTCAGAAACACTACATTTAATATCACCATGGACCTAAGATTCATTTTTCTATCTTAAGGGGAGAGCTATGTGAATCATTCATCTATATATACACATGTCCTTCACCGTCGTACTTCTCATCACCAAAAAGCCATCTCTATCTCTCTTACTCGTCATCTATTTCTCCTTCTATACTCAAAATGAAGAACAAGTTCATAAAGTCCTGCGAAAACAAACTCAAAACCATGAAGAGTAAATCCATAGTCATACCTTGTTGTACATCTTCATGTTCGAGTTGCTGCGAGAAGCTTTGTTGGGGATTCAAGAAGGAAAATGAAGTGATACCAAAAGATGTTCCGAGGGGGCATTTGGTAGTGTATGTTGGTGATGATTACAAGAGGTTTGTGATAAAGATGAGTTTGCTTACACATCCCATCTTTAAAGCATTGCTTGATCAAGCTCAAGATGCTTATGACTCATCAAGACTATGGATCCCATGTGATGAGAACACTTTCCTAGACGTTGTTCGTTGCAGTGGCGCTCCTCAGCATCAGAGAAACTGCATTGGCATGTAATGTAAGAAGGGAGGATTCAAAAGACCTATTCATTTGATTTTGATCCCATCATCATCATCATCATTCTCCTGAGAGAGTTAATGTTGATTATTGATTTAGATAATGTTGTACACTAATTAAGTAAGAGTTTTCGTAATATAAGTATCACCATCGATCGTATTATAAGCAAGTGTTCACTAAGCATGTAGCATTTTCGAATGTTTCCAATTAAACTGAAACATTAAGACTCTGACAAAGATCTGAAGATAAAAAATAGCAAAACTTCTAACATAACCTGATCATGCCTGTCTCTATTGTGTGTCATAGAAAAAGACTTGAACTCTTGTCTGATGCAGATATTGTCAGAGAATAGAAACAAGGTTCAGTTTTCTAAGAGGAAAACTCACATAAAAGGATTCATAATGCTTAGACAGAAACGGCCAGGAACAAGTAGTACAGTACTACTACAGTTGAACTCAAATGGCAACATAAAACTAACAAAGTTCACAAACGAGTTTTTACACGTAATTTTCATATCATATATATCTTACAAAGTGACACCATTCACATTACAATCAAAAACTCAATTCAAACATAAGACAGTAAAGACCAACAAAAATTTTAAATCGAAACAGAAGAAAAGAAAACAGAACAGAACAGAGGAATGCTCTCTTAGCATATCGGGATCGGAGCTCCGTTCCATTCCTTGAGACAATCCATCAACGGATCAATAATTTTACCTTCACACATTGCAGTGAAAACCTTATCAAACTCCTCTCCCGGAGACACAACCTTTTCTCCGGTCAACAACTTCGTACCGAGCTCTTCCCTCACGAACTTATACAAGGGATACGACCTACACTCCTTGATCCGGTTTGGAATCGCTGCATTTCCGCTACCGTAAGCCGCTCTGGTCGCTTCCACTTCCTTAGGAAGCACAGCCTTGAGTTCCTCCTCGAAAGCTCCAATCTTTTGAAAGATTGAAGTCCCTGCATTCTTCTCTGTCTCACCGTTGGAAAGAGCGTGATCAACAATGACTTGTCTTAGCTTCTGCATCAAAGGATAAGTAGCGCTACATGGATCATCGGCGTATGTGAAGACCTGTTCACGATCAACAACCTTAAGCAAGTCTTTCTCGCAGAACCGTGATGGATGAAGCTCACCATTGACTCCAGTGGTCAACACTTTCTTAGCGACTTGAGAAACTGTGTTCTTCACAGTTTGTCTCAGATTCTCCTCAAGATGTCTCAAATCCACAGCTTGACATATCCCCACAAGGAACGTTGTTGACATAAGCTTGAGAATGTCCACAGCTTCAGAGGTTTTACGAGACGAGATCAATCCAAGAGAGTTCACATCTTGATTATGTTGTTCAGCTGATTGAACATGGCTTGTGACTGGATTGGCCAAGTACTGAAGCTCAGAGCAGTAAGAAGCCATAGCAATCTCAGCTCCTTTGAAACCATAATCCAAACTCGGATTACTCGAAGCTGTTAGATTCGAAGGAAGTCCATTGTTGTAGAAGTCGTTAACAAGCTCAGAGAATTGAGCAAACATAAGTTTCCCAATCGCAGCAATGGCCAATCTCGTGTTATCCATAGAAACTCCGATGGGCGTTCCCTGGAAGTTACCGCCGTGAATGGCCTTGTTCCTCGAAACATCGATCAACGGATTATCGTTAACGGAGTTGATTTCACGCTCAATGGACTTGGTAGCTTGACGGATTACTTCAATCTGAGGTCCAAGCCATTGAGGAGATGTACGAAGAGCGTAACGATCTTGTTTAGGCTTCTGCAATGGATCCATCTCGTGAAGCTTTTGAGCTAATTTCATGTATGAGCTCCCGTCGAGGATGTGCTCCATTATCGCCGCCGCTTCGATTTGGCCAGGGTGATGCTTCAATCGGTGAGTCAGATGATCGGTGAACTCAGGCTTCCCGCTCATCACCTCCGCGAAGATCGCCGATAAAACCTCCGCTAACACCGCTTGAACATTCGCTTCAAACAAAACCATCGAGGCCATGCCAGATCCAACCGCCGTGCCATTAACGAGAGCTAAACCTTCCTTAGGCTGCAGATCGAAGAATCCGGTACTGATTCCGGCTTTCTCGAAAGCTTCTTTCGCGGTTAAGGACTCGCCGTCAGGACCGGTGGCTTTTGAGTTAGGACGTCCGGTGAGGAGTCCGGCGATGTAGGAGAGAGGAACGAGATCGCCGGAGGCGGTAATGGTTCCACGGAGAGGAAGCGAAGGAGAGATGTTGTGATTGAGGAGACTCGTAATCGCTTCGAGGATCTCGAACCTGATCCCTGAGTATCCTTGGAGTAGAGTGTTGACTCGAACGAGCATGGCGGCTCTCGTGGCGGATTGCGGCAGCGTGTGACATGCCTCCTTCGTGTTTCCGAATATTCCGGCGTTCAAAAATCTGAAAAAAAAAAACAGAAATCAACAAAATTAAAATTACAACCGACCCGAACCGAATAAAACCCGACCCGAGTAACCGACCCGGCGTGTTTCCCATGCAATGTACTGAACTCGTGCGTATATTCAGTGACAAATTATACAAGAACAAATTAATCTCTGCCAATTATCCACTTAACCTACTAATTTAATATTTCTCTCATCACAAATCCCAAAACAATGTTTGAAAAAGAATTAATGTTTAAATCACATTCCTTAGTTACTTACTACTCATAACGTAACGCTTAATTATGAAATTAATAAAAATTTGTACCTAATGAGTTCAGTTTGTAGTGCGGTGCCGTTTTTGGTTCTCCGGTGAGAAGTAGCACCAAAGCCAGTGGTGACACCGTAACTGTCAGTGCCTTTGTTCATACTGTCCATAACCCAATCGCTGCTAGCTTTGACACCGGCTCTTGAAGACTCAGCTAGCTCAACCTTGACGTCCGCGCCTACGGTGGAGATGGCAGCAACTTGTCCGATCGTCAGTGTTTCACCTCCAAGATTCACAACTGGTCTACGGTACTCATCAACCATCTTCTTGACTTCGTCTAGATGGCTTCCTTTCATTTGCTCCGCGGCTAATCCCCAATTCAACGGATCCGAAACAGTCTTTGTCATCACCGCCGCTTTGGCACTCTTCTGTCCTCCGTTGCATAACATAGCCTCAATCTGATCCATTTGGTTTTTTCAAGAAGTTGAGTGTGTGTGATCAGATTATATCAGATCTCTCTCGATGAGTTTGTTTGGTGAAGGAGGAGAGCGAGAGAGGATATGAATTGTTGGTGTGGGAGGTTTAGAGTTAATCTGAGGAAGAAGAGAAGAGAGAAGAGTCGTTTAAATAAGAAGGACAATGTTAGTGTTGTTGTTAGGTAAGCAAAAGAGAAGAGAGTACACAAGAGTTGATTTTCGTAAATTATAATTAAAAGAAAAAAAGAATGAATTGAGGAGGGGTGGGTGAGAGATTTATGATGACCGTTGGATGAAGCTTATAAATCTAATGGTGGAGAATGGAGAACGTGAATTTGGTTTGAGTCGCAAAAAGTGTTTTTCGTATTCTTTTTTATAATACAATTTAAATTAAGATATTAACGCGTTTGGTATGGTTAAAAATTGTGCGTTCGTTCGATCAACGTCAACCCTCAAAAGGGGTAGAAGAAAGGTAGTCGTGGCTGGTGGCTGAGGCAAATAGCGTTTTGCGGTTGGTGAGACTTTTTACGAGTAAGTGTTGAGTGACTATGGTCTATGGTTTTGGGGAGTAGTTGTATTATCGTTGTGGATTGTAAAAAAACACGTACACCTTGGGTCAAATCCAAAAGTCGTCTCTACTTATATTTCATTTCGTTCTAAATATATACTATATATATTATTTGATATACAATAAAACAACGAACTACTTGAAGTCGAACCAAACCAGCATGAACCTTTTTTTAAAAAAAATATATCTTTCATTATGGGTTAGAGAACAGAGACTACACTTGGACATTTGATTTGGTAAGGAAGGTGCATCCTTTTTATTTTATTTAAAAATATATATTTCTAAGTTTCAACACTAAACCAAACATTTGACCTCAAAACAGATATAACTTAATGATATTTACTAGATTTGCACTAGGCGGAACGTTTGACTCCGGTTAAACAGATGACTATATATATATATTATACGTTTCCAAATATGATTATTTTTCAAGTGATGATGTGAGTTTTGTAAGTGTAATTAAGTGATATTTCATAATACTTTTAGTACATCATAATTAATTTTATAGAAGGAATGAAATAGGAAAATATATATACATTTTTCTTAACCGATACATTTAAGGTTTATAACCGATACTAGCTTGGCTTTTCTAATCTTGTATTGAACATACTACATATAGCTTGGTTTCGGATAGCATTTGGTTTAGTTTGTACTTATTCGTATATTCCATAACTCCTTTTTGAAACGATTATTCTTAGATTTTATTTTCTAACTTTTAACGGCTAAATATATTGCAAAAGACATTATGACTTTTACATATAAAACTTTGACTTTGTGGTCATTAGAGACACAAACTGTGATGAAGAGTTAATTATAATTCATTAATTGGAATTGGTGGTATCAATTATGTCGTCCTTAATCACCAATCATGGATACCCCAGTTTTTTCTATGCTAGCTATAGTACAGTAAGCTAGCATAGAAATCAATGTACAAATCATGATGATGGTATCAACTATTCAATGTGCTAACTTAATAACCATCTCATTTACTCTTATATTTCATCTCACTGTGAAATAAACCATTTCAATCCAAAAGTAAAACCTTTTAAAATCTCTTTGACATTTTTGTGTTAGGTTTGGTATGTATAGTTTGCGAACGCCAGCGTCATGCAACATCAAAGATAACATGTTATATTAGCGTACGTGTCAAACATCATAGACTAGACAAGCTAAGCTGATGCTAGTTTCAAATTGCTTAGTTTTACCCCGGTTTGGTCAGATCCTAACTTGTAAACTTTCTATGGCCATCTCACTAAGTGGCTCAGAGAAACACATAGAGGTATTGGATTAGAGATATTTCTTTTTTGAAAAAATGGATTAGAGATATTTTGAAAAAATGGATTAGAGATATTCAAGTTTCTTTTATATAGTAAGCGTTAATTTCCAATAATAATGTGTCTTTTAAACTTTGAGCTACTTACAAGTACAACATTATACAGTATATTTTAATGCTATGTTTTAAATTTATGGGAAACACAATATAGACCCATGAATGTGGAGCTAATTGAAGAAAACACACCGTTTGCATGAGATGGTAAAGACATGACATGTACGCAATTACATTCTTTTTGTTATAATGCTGTATTTTATTAATTTTTATAAAAAATACTAAAACCAAAACAATCAACTAACTAGCTGAGAACACATTTAAATGTTTTGTTGGTGAGAAACTTACGGTCTAAATCGAAACACATTATAGAACTATTACGTACATAGAGCTATCAACTAATCGCAAGGAACATGCATGAGTAGTATGAGTTGTTTCTAGTAATTATTTGATTTTTGTAACTCTCAAATGAAAATGGTAGACGAGCAAACTGATTATATAATATATTAGGTCGAATGATTCCATATATGTTTCATATAGTCGACATAATATTAATAACTTGAAATCGTCCTCTTCCTAAAAATAATAAGAAAAATCCTCTTCGATCGTAAAAGTTTTATTTTGCTAATATTTAATCATTATATATAAGCAACCAAAAAAACACTTATAAAATGAAGATCGGGCCACTTTGATCAGAAAAAATCGGTATATCTAATTGTTGAGGGCTCGATGGATGGTGATATCGAACAACTCGTTAGTTAGCTTTGATGATAATCTCTCTACATAAATAATAAAATATAAAGCTAATGTAAATCAAATGGACACGATCGAAGATATATAATAAAGGGTCTACTAATTATGGCTGAAAGAGGTAGTGGGTTGGTAGAATGGATTGATCCAAACACTTGCATGTGTGCATGCTCTTCACCACATCTTTGTCTTCTTCACATTTTTACTCTATCTTTTTTATGGGGTCCAAAGAGGCAAATATATATTGACATGTTCGTAACTTTTTGTTTACCGGAGGAGGGCCTCATTATTTCAGTTGAAATGTTTATATAAGAGTATAGTTATAAGCCATATGTATCAGCAGACACAGTATAAAGTATAAAACCAATCAACTACTAATTTCCTAGAATGGTCCGGTTGTAAGTTTTTTATGTTCGGACAGTAGAGTTGGAGGATGTTGTGGGTTGTACACGTACGTCCTAGAATGGTCCGGTTGTAAGTTTTTTTTTTTTTTTTTTGAATAAAGACGCTCTTCTACCATAAAAAATAATAAAAATCAACTACTAATTTAATTTCCTTTTGAATATCACCCAACCATTTGAGTTTAATATATATTTTGACGATTGTTTCTAAAATTAGTTGAGTTTTTAACATTGATTATATATTATAAAATTTAATTAAAAATGTATATTTGAAGATATAGTTTCAGTTAATCCATCTCTCCGCCAACTTCTTCGTAATTAAGCGTCGTCGACCTAAAATACAAAAAACAAAATATAAATATATATAATGAAAACACAAATTAAAATATAAATGATCTAAAAGAAAATTACGTGAGGCTATATTTGCTTTCCTGTTTGCCCACTTTTATGCCAGGAAACCAAACTGTTGGTTGTCTTTTGTAAACCAAACTCTTTCTAAGATATTTGCATTTTAGCAAAAAAAAAGAAAAAAAAAAAAAAAAAAAAAAAAAAAAAAAAAAAAAGAGAGAATTACGTGAGATCCCCCCCTGTCCCTGTGTGTGTGGGTCACCAAAGTGCAACAACCACAGTGGCAAAGATCCATCGGACACCACTCGTCTCACCAACCCCCTCCTTCAGCTTCCCCCTCATATATACATACAAATCACCAAAGTCATTTGTTCAAATCATCCACATAAACTTTCATTTATGTTTTTTTATATATATATATATATAAATGCACACCTCATAATCAGACAGCCTTGCGACGTAACTCAAAAAAAAAAAAAAGTCAGCAATTGGATTCTTGGTGTGACTCATATAAGTCATAAACCCAAAATAAAAATAAAAAAACAAAAAAAAAACAATATGTCGTTGCTAAATTTAGTACAACAATCTTATGACATCCTTTGGGGTTAAGCTTCTAACCAAACAAATAGTATTTGGTGCAAGAAACGTATTTGGTTATTCAGTAACTCTTGCCTTATAATGTGTATTATATATAACTCAAAAAGTCTTGATGATGGATATCTAAAAAAATTTCAAAGCCTGTATACTCCAGAAATGTTGGAGAAAACAATCAGATCATTGCCTCATTCAGACTTAAATCACTTTGTTAGTTATTGTATTCACTTAACCATTATAATTTCTCCTAATCAAACATGTTTATTACTATGATCTTGCAGACCGGGATTAACATCTTCTTAGTCACCTCCTTGTTTTTCTTATCAGCATGTTGCTTCTCCTGATTTTATGAGATTTGTATTGTAGTAACTCTCTGACGCAACCTGACTCTTGATATTACCTGATGTCAGAACCTGAAGATATAAACATTGACTGAGTAATGGCAAAATGCATCAAATCTACCTGCCAATGCCATATCTATTGAGAGCTTTTCATTTGCGGGCTTCCTATATTTTGAACGGTGATTGCAATGGCAATGTCAGCTCTGTGAAAGCAAGCGATCAAGCTCATCAAACCCATCATCCTCATCATGTTCCACATCTTTCAATTGTTTCTGTGTCGTCCTAAGACTATCAAGGTTGGTTTGTTCATATAATGAAAGTCTTTCTGCATCCCATTCCTCTGTCAATCTCCCCACTCTCTCTCCCATCAACTCTTTCTCTTCTGATATGTGCTTTATGTCTTCAATCTCCACTATTTCTCCTGCTCCTTAAGATTAGAAAACAAAGGGTATATACATAATGAAACTTATCCCCCAAAAAAAAAAAAACAATGAATCAAGATGGTACACATTACTACACTAATACTTAAAGTCTCGCAGAACTTGAAAGCAAATCAACTTTAGAATTCTGCTTTTTCAGAAATAGGATGTGAGGGAAATAATATCAACGGCAATACTTAGAGAAGTGAAAAAAAAAAAAAGATTGTGCACAAAACAGTTCATACGAAGCAGCATACCTTTAATTGCGCGCTTCTTGGCCTCTGCATAATCTAAAGATCTTCTATGAAGGGAACTCAGATCAATTTCATTACCCTGATAAGAACAAAGGCGGCAAGAATGGTACAATATAGAAAACTTTAGTAAAGTCTAAAACCGAACTGTTGAACATATGCTTTTATCAACTATCTTTAGGCAAGAGCTTAAGAGAAATGTAAACACTTCAAAGATTAAGTATTTCATACTCACCATATCCAAATGAATAAATTGCTCGATCTCGGTTTCAGAGAGTAATCTGTTCAAGTCAAGATGAGAATAATTTCACTAAAAAGGTCAACTAAATTTACGATTTGTTAGTCCTCTGAAAAAGAGCTAAGGGGCAAAAGAAATCACATACTTATCATAGGCAAACCGCACACGTGCGTTCTGTAGTTCCGTTAATTGATTAAGTTTCTTGGTTGCAGAATCTTCACCCACAGCTCCAAATATAAACATGTTCTTATCAAGCATTTCTTTTGCCACAGCAGCAGCTATCTCTACACCTTTATCTTTTGCCTCGACTACAAGATCCCTAAATTTCCCAAGCTCTTCTACAAGATGTAAAGAGCACAAGTTTAGCATGATACTAGCAACAAGGAGAACTTCAAAAGAGTAGCAAAACGAATGTCCAAATCCGAAAAGGCCAATGAACAAGTCACATGACTCACCATCACAGCAGCTTTCACAATTTTATGGTTAAAGAAAGAAACCAGTTAAAGATGATAGATGCATCAAACTGTTATGTAGACATTATAAAAGCTTACAGAAAGAACGACAAAAGGTAAACACTTACGAAGTGAGATATAAATTCTGAACTTGGGTTTAAAAGGTTGGATCTCATGAAGGCAATAGAGACAGTAGAGACCTCCAAGTCTCCGTGAAAAAGATTCAATATTAACCAAGTGGCCTGTATAGACATAAGGTTGGCTTGTGAGTTCTAGCTAAGAAACTATCACAAAGTGAATGCAAACAGCAGCAGAAATTTAAATTTTGAGTGTTCCAAAAATACAGGAATTAGACCGCAACGTACCAATGGTATGCGCATATAGGGACTGCATGAAAAAAGCTAAGTTGCTGTTCGGACTAGCTTCATATATATACGAAAACTTTCGGGATAGCCACACGCTCTTCATATCAGCAAACGTTTTCAAATCATCCTAAAATGAAAACGAGAAGAGATTCACCAAACTGGAAACTGTACAAGAAGTACAATTTCATATTTTCCTTAAAGGCTATAAACAAAGATTAAGAAAACAATATCAAATACCTTTACAAAATCGCCTATGAGTTCGTCTATATCTCTCTTGAACGGAGAAAGATTCATCCCTGACATACACAAAGGTTTCGTATCAAGAACATGTGTTCCATTGATTGTTTATCAAATCACACGCTAATTCAACTTACAGATCAAGAAAAAAGCTACAACGAATAAAAAGATTCAGAGGCTGAGGATTAAGAGTCCCAAGTTCTACAAAACAGAGTTATGATTAGATGAAAGGCTGAAACTTACTTGCTGAGATCCTTACTCTACCCAATTGCAAACGCTATAACATAGTCATTAGAGTAAACCCAATTAACAAAACAAATGCTGAAGAGTGGATAACAAACATCTTGTACTATTAAGACTGGAATCTGCTATGACAAAGTAATTAGAGTAAACCCTTCTAAGAAGTCCAGTAGACAATCCAAACGAACCAACCATCAGAAACAGATGAATAACCAATACTGAGGAATTAGAAAAGATTATTAAGAAAAAACCTAAAAAATGATTAATCAAAATTACGAATCCTCTAATTCCACAAACTTAAAGTACATAAACCCGAGATTGATGAACAAACACAGACCACCTTAATTCAGAAGACAACAGCACAGCCAGAGAGAGACAGAAATTTGAGGAAACCCTAGTTTCGTTTATGCGGAACCCATCAACGAAAGACTGAAAATTTCGAAGAAGTAAAGACAGAAGAAGACAATGAAACCTTGTTCGGTTTTAGCTGAACTGTACCAGAAATAACTGTGCACGGAGAGGGAAGGAGAAGAAGAAGCCAAGGTAGAGCGAGAAAACATCATCAGCCGGGTTTTATTTTTGTTTGTTTTTAATATAACCTTTCAACATATGGGCTCGGCCTAATCTTATAAGGCCCATTTGTTTGTTCAAAAGTCCGAATTAAAACCGAAATCGTTTTGGTTCGGCTCGGGTAGTACACAATTTGGTTATGTTCGGTTTGTTAATAGATAGCAAAATTAACATTTTCAAGATCTTTAACTTAACTTATATATACGATTACGCAAAATCATTCTAGATCATATACATGTGATTTAATTGCTGACAAACCAAAATTTTACAGACTGCATTCATGAACCATGACGATGACGTTACATTACACAATAGAATCCAGTAGACTTAATTACGAACCCGGTCAAGAGGGATACACGATTTCATGGATTAGAACTATTTGGGAAGAATTAAATTATATATCTGCTTCAAAATTTGTTGCTAGTCTTCAAATTAAAGGAAGATAATGTAAACGCTCAAGTGAAGATAACAAAAATGAATTGAGAATATTTATGAGCGGATCGTAGGAATATTAACAAAGACCGATAGAAAAAAATGATACTGGAAATTGTAACAAAACCAATAATAGACACCAAAGATGTGTGTCTAAGTTAGTAAATGGTACGTCGTACCAAAGAGAAAACATCGGAATTGCATTCATGTAACCTAAAGAATAGTCTCGTTAAAAAGAAAGAATAGTCTCGTAATCTTCTTGGGGCCTCGAAAACATTTAATTGATATATCTCCGAAACTGAGGCACGGCCTTTCAAGCTGGTTAATTTGAAAATTATTGTTTGAATAAAAGTCAATTAAACACAGCCTAGCTAGCTCCCAATATCATATTTATTACTACATAGTTTAACCAATACTATTATTTCTTTTGAAGATTATATACTTCATTTACACAATTTATTGTATTGAAAAAAAACTAATGTGATTATATGCATTTGATTAGATTGTAATTCAGATAGCAACATAACATTAACGACAACTAATGATTAACGTATGCATTTTTTGACTAAGAAGTATGTTTTGTTAGTTTATTGAAAGTTTGAAACAAACAGAAGACTATGTATTACCGTCGGCTAAAATTCTTTAGATCAGGACAACTTATACTATTCTACCACATTCTCCTAGGAAGTAGGAATTATATATCTCTAGTACGTATTATTAAGCTCTACGTCCAATGTTATTCCAATAATAGTATAGTATAAGTAGTGAAACCTTGTTACAACACTGTTTGATTTAGTCAAAAGTTGGACTTTAAGTTAGTCAAAACTTAACGACATGCATGCATGCATAGCCTCTATGGCTCTATATATATGGTTCTTTAAGAGAACTCATTAGTTACTCTTCACTTCAATCAAAGATAAAGAAGAAGAAAAATAGACAATCAAAAAACCAAATAAGAAAATGTCTACCTTCCTTTATTTCATCTTACTCCTTTCACTTATCTTTATTTTGTTTAAAAAGCTCTTACCCTCGAAAAGGAAGCTTCCTCCGGGACCTAAGGGTCTTCCAATCATCGGAAACTTGCACCAGCTTGGAAGATTTCTTTACAAATCTCTTCACGAGATCTCCCAAGAATATGGACCGGTGATGTATCTTCGTTTTGGGGTAGTCCCTGTGATCATAGTCTCTTCTAAAGAAGGAGCTCAGGAAGTGCTCAAGACTCATGATCTGCAGACTTGTAGCCGGCCTAAGACGGTGGGGACCGGGTTGTTTACTTACGACTTTAAAGATATCGGCTTCGCTCCTTTTGGTGAGAGCTGGAGAGAGATGAGGAAACTTGCGATGCACGAGCTCTTTAGCTCGAAAAAGCTCAAATCTTTTAGGTATATTAGAGAGGGCGAGAGCGCATTGTTGGTCAAGAAGGTAACAAATTATGTTCATGAGAAACCTAATTACCAAGTTAATCTGAGGAAACTCATCTTCACCTTCTCGGCAAGTATCATTTGTAGACTTTCTTTTGGAGACAACTTCTGCGATTTTGTAGATATGGACACAGTGGAAGAGTTGGTACTTGAGTCGGAGAAAAACCTTGGCTCCTTGGCATTTGCTGACTTCTTACCTGCAGGGGGAATCATAGATTGGATCTCCGGTCAGCAGGCCACAATGAAAAAAGCCTTCGCCAAACTCAGCAATTTCTTAGAACTTTTGATTGAAGATCATTTGAAGCGTGGAAAAATCCAAGATCACTCAGACATCATTAACGTCATGTTGGACATGATCAATAACCCCACTAAGCTTGGTCCTTTCAAAGTCACCGACGATCATCTCAAAGGAATCATGTCGGTGAGTACAAATAATAATCCTATAGTAAAATCTTCAAAGCTTTACATTATAAGGTTACGGAAAAATATTATAGCTTGGGATGCAAGTTAACTTATGATATAGCCAAATAAGCATTTCGTTTTTCTTCATAGATTCAGGTTCTTAATGTTCCCTAATTTTATTTTGATGTCCTCTTCAAAAAGAAAATCATAAATCATTTATTTGATCAGGATGTGTTTTTGGCTGGAGTGAACGCTGGATCCGTCACGATTATATGGACTATGACAGAGCTAAGCAGACATCCAAGAGTAATGACAAAACTTCAAGAAGAGATTCGAGCAACGCTCGGACCCAACAAAGAGAAAATCACAGAAGAAGACCTAGATAAGGTTGAGTACTTGAAGATGGTGATAGAGGAAGCATTCAGATTACACCCACCAGCTCCTCTCTTGCTCCCAAGACTAACAATGTCCGACATCAAGATTCAAGGCTACAACATTCCCAAGAACACCATGATCCAAATCAACACTTACACGATTGGACGTGATCCCAAAACCTGGACAAAACCTGACGAGTTCATCCCCGAGAGATTTGTCGATAACCCTATCGAATACAAGGGTCAGCATTTTGAGCTATTACCGTTTGGAGCCGGACGTAGGATTTGCCCAGGGATGGCCACGGGAATCACCATCGTCGAGCTCGGCCTTCTTAGCCTTCTTTACTTTTTCGATTGGAGTTATCCCAAAGGAATGACCGCTAAAGACATTGACATTGAAGAAGATGGAGCTCTTGTCATCGCTAAGAAAGTCTCTCTTGAGCTCGTACCAAGTCTTCATCGCTGGTGAACAATGCTACCAAATTTAAATAAGAATAAGATCATTTCTATATTGTTTGTCTACTTTACTACCGGTTCGGATTTTGCTTTGTCTTTGTTTAACGTTTATATTGTCCTGTAGTCTGCATGTTTCATGTTTACAATAATGTTATATAACATTTAATCTTTCAATTTTATTCGAAATGTTCTTTTAAATAAAAACCGTTTTTAAGTTGACAGAACACTGTTAACAACAGAAAAAGAAAAGTTGACGTAATACTCAAGAAATTGATTCCGCAAGATTTAGGGTTTATATATCATGATGAAAAATCAATAACTGGGTTTCAAAAAGTAAGAAAGTCTACGTCAGTTTAGTTACTTGTAGAACATTCCCAAGACCAAAACGATGGAGTCAAAAACCCACTTTACTCTGTTTTCCTCTGTTTCGCTACTCTTTTATCTTTATCAAAACGACCAAAAAAAAAACTTGTAGAGAGCATAATACAATATAGTGAAAATATGGAAAACCCTGATAATTAGAATACGTTTTCTTCAGAGGTTTTAAAATTGCAGTAAGTTAAAGAAACCTAATCAACTTGGCTCAATTAGTTCGTTTGATTTCTGTTGATTGCCACGTTCTTGTTGTCGGTTTTGTTAAACAGAGAGCTTTTTATATCTAACCTTGGTTTTTTTGGGGGCTTTCTCCATCTCCACCTATTAAACACAAGATCATGATATGCGTCGATAGAGTATTTACAAGAACCTAACCACATGCATTGCGCCATATAAAGACTCTATGAGAGCAAATCGCTCTTCACTTCAAATACAAAGAGAGAAAAAAAAAAAAGAGTTACTAATATTAGCCTAAATAAAAGATAAGAGTTAATGTCTATCTTCCTATGTTTCCTATTCCTTTTCCCTCTCTTTGTGATCCAATTTAAAAAGCTTTTACCCTCGAAAAGGAAGCTTTCTCCGGGACCTACGGGTCTTCCGATCATAGGAAACTTGCACCAGCTTGGAAGATTGCTTCACAGTTCTCTGCACAAGCTCTCTTTAAAACATGGACCAATGATGCTTCTTCGTTTTGGGGTCGTCCCTGTGGTCGTAATCTCCTCCAAGGATGCAGCTACAGAAGTTCTCAAGACTCATGACCTAGAGACTTGCACCCGACCTAAAATGGTAGCAACCGGTTTATTTTCGTACAACTTCAAAGACATTGGTTTCACTCCGTATGGCGAGGATTGGCGAGAGATGAAAAAGCTCATAGGACTCGAGCTATTTACTATAAAAAAAACTGAAGTCTTTAAGGTCTATCAGGGAGGAAGAGAGTGACTTGCTGGTCAAGAAAATTTCAAAATCTGCTCAAACACAAACCCTTGTGGATTTATTATATTTAGACATGCATTTGGGAAAAACTTCCGTCAGTGTGATTTCATCGATATGGAGAGAATAGAAGAGCTGGTGGTAGAGTCAGAGACCAACGTAGGAACCTTGTCATTCACTGACTTCTTCCCTACGGGTCTCGGATGGCTTATAGACCGTCTCTCTGGTCAGCATTCGAGGATGAACGAAGTCTTTTCTAAACTCACCAATTTGTTTAACCATGTGATTGATGATCATTCAAAGACTGGACACCACCAAGATCACTCAGACCTCATCAGTGCTATGTTGTATATGATCAATAAACCCTCCAGTGAAGGCTCTTTCAAGATCACTTCCGATCATCTCAAAGGAGTCATGTCGGTAAGTGTAAATATGATTTGTTAATTAGTACCAGTCTTTAAAGTTTATATTGGAAATCAAAAATGTTCTAGCTTAGGGAGAAACTTACAAATCTAATTCTAAATTATATTTTGAAATCAAAATCATGAATTCTTACGTATGTTATTTATAATCTAGGATGTGTTTTTAGCGGGAGTGAAGGCGGGAGTGATCACGATGATATGGACAATGACAGAGCTGACCAGACATCCAAGAGTGATAAAGAAACTCCAAGAAGAGATTCGAGCAACACTCGGGTCTAACAAAGAGAGAATCACAGAAGAAGATCTAGAGAAAGTTCATTACTTAAGGATGGTGATCAAGGAAACATTCAGACTACACCCACCTGCTCCTCTCTTGCTCCCAAGATTAACAATGTCCGACATCACGATTCAAGGCTACAACATTCCCAAAAACACCATGATCGAGATCAATACTTACACGATAGGACGTGATCCCAAATGTTGGACTAGCCCCCAAGAATTCATTCCAGAGAGGTTTCTTAATACCTCTATAAACTACAAGGGTCAGCATTACGAGCTCTTGCCCTTTGGAGCTGGTCGTAGGAGCTGTCCCGGGATGGCCTTGGGAATCACCATTCTTGAGCTCGGACTTCTGAACCTTCTATATTTCTTTAATTGGAGTTTACCAGATGAAATGACAATTGCAGACATTGACATGGAAGAGGTTGGAGCTTTAAACGTTGCCAAGAAAGTTCCTCTTAGGCTCGTACCAACTCTTTATCACTCGTGAACAAATGCATTTAAGCATATAAGATCAAGAGTAGTAGGTTAGCCTCTCTTTGTCATCGGTTCAGTTTCATAACGTTTTCTTTGCCTTACTTTTATCCTGGCTGCATGCAGGCTTATGTTCATTATATATATTTTTAAAATTTTATATATTCAGTCCACCCTCTGCATATTTCATACAATTTTCCCATATAATCATTATATTTATTGAAAAGTATCAAAACTAATTATAGTTTGTGGTTAAAACTAATTAGTTCCACAAAAAAAATGTTTAGATTTGTTCATCTCCTGTTCGGTTAGAGAGAAAGCTTCATATCTAACTTGTCTTTTTGATTGGGTATCTTCTCCTTCTCCACCAATTAAACACAGAACATGATGTGTCTGGAGAGATGAGAGAGTAACCCTAATTATGTATGTATAACAAACCAATCTTAGATAAGACTAAAGTGTCTTAAGTTAGTAATGGTACGTCAGTACGTACGCCACCACAAAGAAAAACATCGAAGTCGCATGTATTTGGGGACTCGAGAACATTGATAGATCTTGGAACCAGTGTAATGCCTCGTTTGTACTTTGTAGTAGTCCTGTAAGCACGGCCTTGCAAGTTGGTTAAGTTGACAACTATTTTTCTGAAGACAAGTCTATTATACACAATCTAGCTCCCAATAGCATATTTATGACATAGTTTTACCAAGACTATTTGATTCTTTTGCTTTTTCTTTTGTCTATAGTGGTAATTTTTTTAAGCCAGTGAATCACCTTTGCTTATAATTTCATTCCTCTCTTTTGTTGAATATTTGTTTTTCTCATCCATATTATCTCTCTATATTCTTCGGAATACATTCAACATCTATGCATAAAAAAACAACAAACTGTATTAAAACTAGAACAAGTCAAAAGCTTCTTCAATATCTTTATCAATTTTTCTTCAAACCGACTTAACAAAATAAAAAAAAAACCTATATACAAACAAATTAATGAAGAAGTAAAACTTTTGAGACAACTACTCGTTGCATGCAAGTTCACGCTCTGATATCTACACGTTGCAAGAACTTGCGACTTTCTAAGGAAAACAAAAATCTGTAAACGTTTCTAAGTCAATACTTTGAATTGTTGAATTGAAGTGGAAAATTTTGTTAAAATTTATATATTCCTGATGAATGTATATATATATATATATATATATATATATATATATATATACGTTATAGCCAGCCGAGAAAAAAAAAAATTACGTTACATAACCGATCGGCTCTCTCATTATATCCGTACAAACGCGCATAATCCAAACCGTCATCTTTATTGTACTATTTTTCAAAAGATGATTATACAGTTTTTTTCTTTTAAGAAGATTATATACTTCATTTACACAGTTAATTGTGTTGAAAAAATTTATGCATTTGATTAGATTGTAATTCAGATAGCAACATAAACATTAACGTCAACTAATGATTAACGTACGTATGCTTTATTTAGCTAAGAATTATGTTTTGTCTGTTTCAAAAAAAAAAAAGTATGTTTAGTTAGTTTTGAAAGTTCGAAACAAACAGAAGACTTTATATTACCGTCGGCTAAAATTCTTTAGATAAGGACAACTTATACTATTTGACCACACTCTCCTAGGAATTATATATCTCTACTATTATTAAGCTCTACGTCCAATATTTTTCGATAGTAGTATATATAGTATAGTAATGAAACATTGTTACAACACTGTTTGACTTAGTCAAAACTTGGACTTTAAGTAAGTCAAAACTTAACCACATGCATGCTTGCATAGCCTCTATGGCTCTTTATAAATGGTTCTTCCTTAGAACTCATTAGTTGCTCTTCACTTTAATCATCAAAGATAAAGAAAAAGAAAGTTACACGATAAAAAAAAGAAAAAAGAAAAAAAGCAAACAAGAAATGTCTATCTTTCTTTGTTTCATCTTTTTCCTTCCTCTCTTTTTTATCTTCTTTAAAAGGCTTTTATCTTCGACAGAGAAGCTTCCTCCGGGACCTAAGGGCTTTCCGATCATCGGAAACTTGCACCAGCTTGGAAGATTTCTTCACAAATCTCTTCACGAGATCTCCCAAAAATATGGACCGGTGATGTATCTTCGTTTTGGGGTAGTCCCTGTGATCATAGTCTCTTCTAAAGAAGGAGCTGAGGAAGTACTCAAAACTCATGATCTTCAAACTTGTAGCCGACCTAAGACGGTAGGGACCGGGTTGTTTACTTATGACTTTAAAGAAATCGGCTTCGCTCCTTTTGGTGAGAGCTGGAGAGAGATGAAGAAAATCGCGGTGCTCGAACTCTTTAGCCAGAAAAAACTCAAATCTTTTAGGTCTATTAGAGAGGACGAGAGCGCATTGTTGGTCAAGAAGGTAACAAATTATGTTAATGAGAAACCCAATTCACCAGTTAATCTGAGGAAACTCATCTTCACCTTCTCGGCAAGTATCATTTGTAGACTTTCTTTTGGACACAACTTCTGTGATTTTGTCGATATGGACACAGTGGAAGAGTTGGTACTTGAGTCGGAGAAAAACCTTGGCTCCTTGGCATTTGCTGACTTCTTACCTGCAGGGGGAATCATAGATTGGATCTCTGGTCAGCAGGCCACAGTGAAAAAAGCCTTTGCCAAACTCACCAATTTCTTTGAACTTGTGATTGAAGATCATTTGAAGAGTGGAAAAATCCAAGATCACTCAGACATCATTAACGTCATGTTGGATATGATCAATAACCCCACTAAGTTCGGTCCTTTCAAAGTCACCGACGACCATCTCAAAGGAATCATGTCGGTGAGTACAAATAATAATCCTATAGTAAAATATTCAAAGCTTTATATTATAAGGTAACTTAAAGGAAAATATTATAGCTTGGGATGCAAGTATCTTATGATATAGCCAATGCATTCGTTTTGTTCATAGATTGAGGTTCTTAATGTTCCCTAATTTTATTTTTGATGTACTCTTCAAAACGAAAAATCATAAATCATTAATTTGATCAGGATGTGTTTTTGGCTGGAGTGAACGCTGGATCCGTCACGATGATATGGACTATGACAGAGCTAAGCAGACATCCAAGAGTAATGAAAAAACTTCAAGAAGAGACTCGAGCAACGCTCGGACCCAACAAAGAGAAAATTACAGAAGACGACCTAGAGAAAGTTGAATACTTGAAGATGGTGATAGAGGAAGCATTCAGATTACACCCACCAGCTCCTCTCTTGCTCCCAAGACTAACAATGTCCGACATCAAGATTCAAGGCTACAACATTCCCAAGAACACCATGATCCAAATCAACACTTACACGATTGGACGTGATCCCAAAACCTGGACAAAACCTGACGAGTTCATCCCCGAGAGATTTGTCGATAACCCTATCGAATACAAGGGTCAGCATTTTGAGCTATTACCGTTTGGAGCCGGACGTAGGATTTGCCCAGGGATGGCCACGGGGATCACCATCGTCGAGCTCGGCCTTCTTAGCCTTCTTTACTTCTTTGATTGGAGTTATCCCAATGGAATGACCGCTAAAGACATTGACATTGAAGAAGATGGAGCTTTTGTCATCGCTAAGAAAGTCTCTCTTGAGCTTGTACCAACAATCCATCGCTGGTGAACAGATATGTTTTGTCTACTTTTACTACCGGTTTGGATTTTGCTTTGTCCTTGCTTTGTTTAACGTTTGTTTTGCCTGTAATCGGTATGTTTCATGTTTACAATAATGTAATATAACATGTTAACATCTCATCTTTAAAATATTTTTAAGTTGACAACAGAAAAATAAAAGTTCAAATAATATTAAAGAAATAAATTCCGCAGGATATAGGGTAAATATATCATGATAAAATAAAGGATTAATTGGGTTTTTAGTACATTTTTGAAACATATTTGTAGAAGTAGTACATTTACTATTCATTATTAGCAAACTAATACATTTTTACTATTTGGACACTATTTAGACACTATTAAAAACCCCCTTAAATCTAATAACTAAAAATATTCATCAAAATATATTTGTTTTCTATAAAATTTCAATTACATAAAAATCTATATTTTTTCTCTATAATTTGATATGCATTTTTTAAAAAATAATTTCAAATATTTTTCAAATAAATTTTGATACGTCCAACTATCCTTATGTACAGTGTGTGTCGATGTACGGAAAATCATCCGTACAGCGGTCTATATATACGTATAATTGTACGTGTACATATATTTTCTGGTCTATATATGTATATTTGTTTATGTGTAAATATGTTTATATGTAGTTGTTTTTCTTTGTACAAATATTTGATGTACAATAATATGTTACTGTACAGTTGTCTGTCTGTACAGATATCTGAAATAGTAAAATTGTACTATTTTGCTAATTGTGAATAGTAAATGTACTATATTTATAATTATGTTTCAAAAACGTACTAGTTTGCCAACACACCCTAAAATAAATAATTGGGTTTTAAAAGTAAGAACTTCTACGTTAATATTTAGTTACTTGTAGAACATTCCCAAAGACCAAAGCGATAGAATCAAAGCTACTATAGTGGCTGATGTGTATAAACATAGATAAATGTGGTGGCACCCTTCGCATAGTCATACCATTTCATATATAATCACTATATATTCATTGGAAATATCAAGCCTAATTAGTTTGTGGTATAGAACTAATTAGTTCAACAAAATATGTTTAGATTTGTTTATGGCCTGTTCGGTTAGAGAGAAAGCTTAATATCTAACTTGTCGTTTCTTTTTGGGTGTCTCTTCTCCTTGTCCAACAATTAAACACATAACATGATGTGTCTGGAGAGAGTCGCCCTAACTAAATCCAATTCCTCTGATAAATTCCACAAACAAAACTTGAATTATTATTACAAAAGCCGAACCAAATTCCTAGATTGCGTATATATATATTGCCTCTTTGGGAACACAATGCTCATCACTTCAAATACAAAGATAAAATAAAGAGTTTTAGCCAAAAAAAAGAGACCAAGGACACTATGTCTATATTCCTAGGTTTCCTCTTCCTCTTCCCTCTCTTTTGGATTCTATTTAAAAAGCTTTTACCTTCGGAAAGAACGCTTCCTCCGGGGCCTAAGGGTCTTCCGATCATAGGAAACTTGCACCAGATTGGAAGACTACTTCACAGTTCTCTTTACAAGCTTTCTTTAGAGCATGGACCAGTGATGCTTCTCCGTTTCGGGGTCGTCCCTATGGCCGTGTTCTCTTCCAAAGAAGCAGCTAAAGAAGTTCTCAAGACTCATGATTTAGCGACTTGCGACCGACCTAAGCTGGTCGCCAACGGGTTGTTTACTCACAACTTCAAAGACATCGGTTTCACTCAGTATGGTGAGGAATGGCGAGAGATGAAAAAGCTCGTGGGGGTCGAGCTCTTCAGTCCAAAGAAGCACAAATCTTTCAGGTATATCAGAGAGGAAGAGGGTAACTTTCTTGTCAAGAAACTATCCGCTCAAACACAAACCTTGGTGAACTTGAGAAAACCCCTTTTCTCCTACACCGCCGGTATCATATTTAGAGTCGCCTTTGGACAGAACTTCCACGAGTACGATTTTATCGATATGGACAAACTTGAAGAGCTGGTGCTTGAGGCAGAAACCAACGTATGCAGCTTGGCATTCACTGACTTCTTCCCCATAGGTCTCGGTTGGCTTGTAGACCGGATCTCCGGTCAGCATTCAAGGATGAACCAAGCCTTTATGAACCTTACCAATTTCTTTCAGCATGTGATCGATGAGCTTTTGAAGACTAAACAACTTCAAGATCACTCAGACCTCGTCACTGCCATGTTAGATATGATCGATAGACCCACCAAATCCGGTTCTTTACAGATCACTTCCGATCATCTCATAGCAATGATGTCGGTGAGTACAAATAATCTCTTAGCTAGTTTCAAACTATTAAAGTTCTATAGTGGAGATATAGAACATAAATTGGTTGGTTTTTATTTTTATTTTTTGAAGCTGTAGCTTGGATAGAATTAATTCTCAATATAGACATAAATTTTGTTTTGATAGTCCATTTATTAATCTTTTTCTAATTCATTTTTGTTTTATACTTCTAAAAGTTTTAAAACCTAAATTACGTATGTCATTCGATCAGGATGTGGTTTTGGCGGGAGTGAACGCAGGAACAGTCACAATGTTATGGACGATGACAGAGCTAGTAAGATATCCAAGAGTAATGAAGAAGCTCCAAGAAGAGATTCGAGCAACACTAGGATCCAACAAAGAGAGGATCACAGAAGAAGATCTAGAGAAAGTTGAGTACTTGACGTTGGTGATCAAAGAAACTTTCAGATTACATCCACCAGCTCCTCTCTTGCTACCAAGACAAACAATGTCAGACATCGAGGTTCAAGGCTACCACATTCCCAAGAACTCCCATATAAAGATCAACACTTACACTATAGGACGTGATCCCAAATGTTGGACTAACCCTGAAGAATTCAATCCGGAGAGGTTTTCCGATACCTCTATAAACTACAAGGGTCTGCATTACGAGCTCTTGCCCTTTGGAGCCGGTCGTAGAAGCTGTCCTGGTATGAATTTGGGAATGACCATTCTTGAGCTAGGCCTTCTTAACATTCTTTACTTCTTCGACTGGAATTTACCCAACGGAATGACCATTGAAGACATTGACATGGAAGAAGACGGAGCTCTGAACATCGCCAAGAAAGTCCCTCTTAAGCTCGTACTAACTCTTCCATCATCAGTCATGAACAAATGAATTAAATAAGATCAAGACAAGATTTGTATGTTTGCCTCTAACGTGGTATTTGGTTTTTCTTTCCTTTTTAATTTTTAATTTTTTTTGTCTTACGTTTATCCTGGTTGGCTTGTATTGCGAAATTAGTATACATCTATGTTTCTTATCTTCGATAAAAACTACTTTATGCTGTTATAAAAAAGTCTTGCAAATTTTCATTGAACAAAACGGCAGCGTTTTCACCTAAGACTTTGGAGGGTGAGAACCCTCTGTGACGCGGAAATTAAGTGTAAGAGATCGTGACCATTAAAAGGCAATAAGCACTAAAATCGGATGGATGATATCTCGAAGTAAGTAGTATAGTATAGTCCTGACTTGTAATCGTCTACTTCAGCCTGATATCCAACTTCGTTGAGTTTTATATAATTCTCACTACTGAAAACATACTATATAACGCCATAGATGGATTAATAACAAGCATTCAAAACATAACAAGAAACAGCAATAAATTTATAAGTTTTCTTGGGGATGAAGAAGGTACCACTAAGATAAGAAAAATCATAAGAACACTCCTAAACAAACAAAAGTCATAGCAAGTCATGTCAAAGCTAGTACTGATGATAATGGGGGTGATGGTGAACTGGTGATGATGATGATGATGATGATGATGGTGATGGTGAAGAGAGGATCAAGTAGTTCCACGCATGATATGCACTCTGATGGAATGAACTTTGTTTCGGTCATGAAGAAGCTCGCATTCAACAGTATCTTGATGTTTCTTAAGTCTGTTCCTTCTGCAAATCCTGTCCCATCCTTTGAAACAGATCCTATCATCTGCCCATTTGCCTCTAAGCCCTACTAAGGTCCCTTCTCCATCAATGTACTTGACGGAATCACCAAACGTTAGCTTATTTTCTTTCACAACATTTGCTGGAATCAACTGCACAAAACAAAACCAACCACAACATGTAAAAAACAAAACATATCGAAAGTAAAGAGAGACAGTAACTTAATCCAAAGTCTTTTGTCAATTTTACCAGTTCATAAATCCTGTTCTTGAGGGTAGTTGAAAAGTGTGGATTGGTTAGAGCTTCAATGTCTAAGTTCCCTTCAACAACTGAAACAAAACAAGCTTGCTTAACAACACTAGTTTTTTGGATTAGCAATGTTTAAATACTTTGAAAAATACCATCTCACACCTGCTGAATCAGATTCAGTCTCTTCGTCCTCAAGTGGATAAAGACTCTGGCTGATTTCTTCATCTTCACCTAAGCTAGTGTCACCATAAAAATCCATTGAAAGTTCTCTTTCTTCTTCAGAATCAGAACTAGAACCATCAGAATCAGAACTAGAACCATCAACCGCAATTGCTTCTACTTCAGCTCTGGTCTCTTTACAACCCAAGCGCCCAAACACACTAACTTCAAAGGTTCGGTGACCATCGTACACAAATGTTAAGAACTCTCCGTCCACAAGTTCATGGTCCTGTGCAAACTTTGACCATCCAGCTGTAAAATACACACCGTCACGTATTTTCGTCATGTTCACTGTCCAATCTCTTCCTCCAGTGCCTTGGAGCTTGGCTGTATTTGGCAATGGATCAGCAAGATGTTCCATGAAAGACAAAGGAATCGCCTGATGATCCAAACACAAATATAAACTTGTTAATAAGGCATAGTGTCTTAGTTTTTACAAGCCTATGAACCAGACAGAGTAAGCTACCAAAGATGATTCATAAACAAAGACAAATAAAAATGATGAACACAAAATTAAACTGCGTAAAAAACATCGAGTCTCTCTGTTTTCAAGTTTAGAAGCAATAGTTTGAACTTATGGCTTTAGTTCACAAGAAATTAAGGAACAATTATCACTTCCATTCACACAGCTCATTCTATCATTCTGGTTTCATTACAGTAAAGAGATTCCAAACCAAAAGCTAACACTGCAAACTATAACTAAAAGATTCAAACCCATAAAGCATAACTCTCTCATTGATACTTAACATTTCCTAAAAGTTTGAGACTTTTGGTACCAAGTTTATAGAAGAGATAAAGAAAGAAGAATTAGGAAGAGAAAGAGTTATTCTTACAAATGATTCAGAAGCTGATTCAGATAGGAACACCTTGAAGAAACGAGGAAGCAAAACGTCATCATCATGTTCAGCCATGGAGATGTAGGAAGCGAGAGAGAAAGACTCGAAATAGGTCTATGAGCTAGTGAGAAGGAGACAAACGTTGATGATTTAGACAAATCTGGTTTATTGATTTTATAGCCGAGAGTGAAAGAGAAATGAGTCAAACAAAAACCTCTGTGTTTGAAAAAAAAAAAAAAAGAGTTGCACTCAAATTCATATCTCAAAGATTTTCTTTAATTTACAGTTTGGCCCCATAACTTGTAACAAATTATAGTCAAAAGAAAGCAAAAGCTGTTCCCGAATTGTGTCAAGTCTTGTGAAACTTCTTTTGAATCAGTACATAGTACATACCCATCAGAGACTACTTCCATCTCTTTCCTCTGTTGTTACCAGTCTTCATCTTCTTTTCTTAAAAACACAACAAAAACTATATATTCTACTTTATATTGTGTCGTATCAGTATCGGACTCATGACACAGAAAAATTAATGAAAAAGCTGACCACTAAGTTTGCGTGTCTGTTTGGAGAAAAAAAGAAAGAGAGACTGTTATATCTTATGGTACAATATTTTCTGCAAGCATAGGGGGATTGGTTACTGTGAGATTGTAGCCCACTCTATACTCTCTTGGCTTCTCTCATTCACAGATTAACAAAAATGATAAGTAATGCTTCAATATCTTATAAAGCTTCGACTAATTCGATCACTATCAATAATTACTAGAACTCGCTAGCTCAAGTTTCTTTACGCACAATTTCATATATTATTGTTTTTGTGCCTTTTTGTTGATGGGGGTTTACATACGAATCTAACATACAGCGAAATACCTATCTTCCAAAGACAAACTTAAAAATCTTAACTTCATTGTATGGGATACCTATTGATTCTTTTCATGCATCTCATTCCTCTATCATCCCTCGAGTTGATCTTCTGCATTGATTTTGGAATACAATTTGTTTGGCAGTTTAGGAGACGAGGCTGAGACAAGTTTTGAACTTGCCTTAGTTTTGGAATTTGACGCTTCTTGTATTGGAGACCTTGTGGGTTGAGACTTTCCAGACTTCTTACTGGCAGATGCAGATCCATGTCTGGCCTGTATCACAAAGAGAGAAAAAAAGCGACATCAACTAACATACTAAAATTCCAAATCGATATAGATCTTGTCCAGTTGTGTCCAATCTCAAGGAACAAATGATTGCAAGAAATTAATTCATTTTGGAGACTTACTCCATCAAAGAATCCAATATTTGGTGATGGCACACGAAGACCTGATGGTTTCATGGAAGTTGGAGGAACCGAACCACCGTTCATAGCTGAAACTCGTTTCGTGACTTCTTTAGCATCAGCTTGGGTAACAGATACATCTTTGGAGTTCTTCAAAGGCTTCACAGTTTGTAGTGAATTATCATTGGCAGGAGGACCCTTGTCATCAGAGACCATTTTCTGGTTACCATTAGCTATATTACTAGTAGCAGAAGCTCGTGATGACTCTGATGAACAGTCACTAATAGAACCAACAGATGGTACACGAGAGGGAAGCTTGGACTTGGTTGTCTTATTGGTTGGGTGGGATGAGATTCTCGGTTGGCCCATAATACCTCTAGATGTAGATCGATTTGCCAATGACTGGGAAGCTAATCTGGAACTTGACTCATTCTTCTTTTTTATCGAATCTACAGAAGACTTGTGAGAAGCGCTAGATGAAGCACTGGCAGAACTCTCTAGAGAAGAGCATGAAGAGGTCATTTCATTCTTTGAAGCAACTGAAGAACGTAAAGAAGATTTAACGGGAACACCAGATTTTGGCAAGACGGTTTTAGCACGTCGTGATATGGGCATTCTGGGACCCAGAGGCTCCTTACCTGTATTATTCAAGGTCATATAATATCCTTTAAAAAACAAATGTAAACCTCTTTAAGAACAAATTCTGACTAACCCGCAGGTAACTTGGAATTCTTTTCTTGCTTGGTTTTGCTAATTTCCAATGATGTCCTATTTGTTGATGCTGTTGACAAGGGCCTGCCTTTGCTGGGTCCGTTGGGTGGCTTGGAAATGGATGTACTGAGACCTCTTGGAGCAACAGGCTGCAGAAAATGTATCATTTATCATAGTATCATATTTATTGTTTATGTGGTTCACTATATGGTAAGCTGTAACAAGTGATGACACGCGTTTCTGATTCAAAAATCCAACAGAGCCAGTTCAAGTTTACAAGTCCAGCTCATTGCCACTGGAAACCTAGGAGAGCACCATTGTTCTGGAACTATGAAATGAACTAATACTAAGAAATAAATCCTTAAGTTAATATGCAACTGAGAGACTGAATGAAGATAATATACCTGTTTTGCCTTCCCTAGTCCTTGTGCTCTAATACTCTGATTTCTAAGACCGGCTTTGGGTTTAGTCTGAGAGATAAATAAATTAAAGGGAAAGTTAGCTGAGAAGGGAGGACAAAGAGAAATCCACATGATGCAGTTGTTAGCATGTTTACCTTTTCCTGAGATGTAAGGATGTCTCCCATAGCTGGTAATTTAGACAAAGAATGCAAAAGTTGGTCAAATTGGAAACAACATGAATTAACTATTGCTAGAAATTTGTATAGTAACGTAAACAGCACAAAACAGTTCTTCCAATGCCACAAAATTTAAACACAGTAGCGGGTCAGTCTTCTTGAAATATTCCATCTAAGATTATAGCTCACACGAGATACTAGCTCTCCCAGAAGCCATAAAGAAAAAAATGCACAGGAACAGCTTTCACTACTGTAACGATCCAAATGGTAAGAAAAACACAAACATAAAACGAAGAAAGTAGATCCTTCTTTTTAATAGAGTATAGTAGCGAAACATGCCAATATGTGGTAAAACATATCACTGCTTAAACAGGCAAAGCTAATTCCACTCCCTCTACTTCAGATAAAGACTAAAGAAAACTTACTTGTGCCAATTGCTACTTCTGTTGCTCCCAGTTCGTTAGTTCTTCCAGGTGTTGCAGTATCAGATGCTTTAGCAGACCTTTGAATAGACGCTCTTACATCTTCAAACAAAACAAATTCCTGACTGTTTTCCACAGTGCAGTCACTTTGAAATGTAGAGATGGACTCGGTAGATCTATTAATATCCTCTTCAATAGTCGGTAAAGCTTTCTTTCCACTCTTATGATTGCTTTCCATCATGCTGGATATCTCTTCGGGTTCCAAAACACCTGATTTTGAAAAACATCTCAGCAAAAGTGCGCAACATATAAAAACTAACGATTAAACCCGGAAGCTAATCAAAAGGTACCTGGATGAAAATGCACATACCTTCGTTGGTGAAGAAGGCATTGTCCCAGGCAAGACTTTTACGCAAATTATACTTTCCTTTCTTCATCACTTTTTCAGGTTCAGGAGACTCGTGAGGTTGAAGCACCTCTTCCTTCTCTTCAACAGAAGATACCAGTATCTCTTCTTCATCACAGTAATGTGTATCCATCATGAAATTCAGATCTTTGTCATCCTTCAAACATTTCTCATCCTTATTCGTCTCTGAAACGTAACCACAATACAAAAATTTACAACTTATAAATGCAAAATCCAATGCCAGCTCGCTACAATAGTACAAATCGCCACATCAAACACTGAACTAAAGTTTCAAGAATATTTTTTTTCCGTCGATCAAGTAAACACACAATGAACAGTAAGAAATCAATAAACCCCACACTGAAACTTTTCATGGTATCAATCAAAATCCAACACTCTACAATAAAGCAGATTCAGAACTTTTAACAATAGCCCAGAACTCATGAAATCCAAAATCAAAGGAGGAATTTTAATTTTACCGGAAAATTCGTAGCTGGTTGGGTCGGGAAACGAGGAGAAGAGAAGGCTATCGTCTTCAGAAGCGACATCAATAAGACCAAGGCCATCGGCCTCAACCTCGCTTTTCTTGGCCTCGTTGTCTTCCATTGAACAGAGATCGAAAATGCAGAGAAGTGTTGAGTTGGGTCGAAGATGAAGTTTTGAATAGGATTCGATTCGATTCCTCCACTGTCTTTGAGAAATCGAGGGTTTTTGAGTGTAGTGAGCGCGGTTGTTCACTTCCTAATCCGTGTGTAATTGCTTTGATACATTCTCACTACTTTTTTCAAAATCGGTTCGATTCGATCTAGTCCGGTTCGGTTCAACCAGATTGAAACACTTCAGTTCAGCCGATTTAAACCAAATGGGTTAGGTGACCAACGCCTTTGGTCTAGTTAAAGCCCATAAAAACAAAGTGAATTGTCCAATGGGTCTTAATTTAATTCCTAAATATATAGCCCATAGAAAATACTAATGAACAAAAATATAAAATTGGTATTTATCTTTTCTTTTTTTTTGTTTTCAACAAATTAGTATTTCTCTTTATCTAATGTAACAAATTGAAATTGTATAATTTATGATAAGATTTTCCGCTACATTAGAAACACTAATCAGAATTATATACCTATCAGAAAAGGATTTGAATTTTTGAAACATCAAATGAACTAAAAAATAATTTATAACATTAGTATATCAATTTTGTAATTGTATAAACCTAGTATGCTAAGATAGTCCATTACATCAGAATTTATATTTAATGTACAAGGTTGATGAGAGAAAACAGACTAGTGATTTGGAAATATTATATTGACTCTCATGAAGATTACAATAATAGTTACATAGGTTCATATAGTGAGGAGAATGCTAAACCTTAATTATATAGTTCCCTAATATACACAAATACATAAATGAGATAATTATGAGAAATATATTCAAAGATATTCTAATTTATTCTACACACTTCTATATTGAACACTAAAGCAAAACCTAAGCAGAAAAGGATGACAGAAAGTGTCGAAGTTTGTATAGATTAAAAGGAAATAAAATTAAACTTAATAATCCTAATAAAACAAGGACTATGATTAAGGATCGTGAAACAATATAAATAGAGCACATAGGTGACTTCTTTTTCTCACCAAAACACATTCATATCTATACTTCTCTCTCTCTGATTCAGCGAGCTGAGTTTAGAGATATCTAATCATCTTTTCTTTTCTTCTTCTTCCTGTCCATACGATCCGAATCATGGCCATGAAGAAGATCTCTGTCTTCGTGCTTGTGATCATGTTTCTCTTGGGTTGCACCTCGGCTAAAACCTACAAAGTCGGTGGTTCCAACTATGGATGGACTGTCAAGGACGACACTTGGGCTGAACATAAGCAATTCCACGTTGGAGATTCCCTCGTCTTCCAATACGACAAGAACGTCAACGACCTCGCTCAAGTTTCCACTGCTAAAGAGTACATGTCATGCGAAGCTTCTTCTCCTAAAGTTGTTTACAACACCGGTCACGATGTCGTAACCTTCAAGGAACCAGGACATTACTACTTCATCACCTCTAATCATATTCAATGAATGGACTTAAACTCGACGTTCTTGTCGTCCATGACCCCTCACGTCCGATTCCTCCACCACCACCGAGCAAGAACCATGAACCATCACGTCCACCACCAAACAAGAACCAAGGGCCGTCGACGTCACGTCCAAGCCCTCCTCCACCACCACCGAGCAAGAACCAAGGCCCGTCACGTCAGAGTACTCCTCCACCACCACCGAGCAATAACCAAGGCCCGTCACGTCAGAGTCCTCCACCACCACCACCACCACCGAGCAAGAGAGGAAGGATCTACAAGGTAGGTGATTCCAAAGGATGGAGCGTGTACAACAGTTACTACTACTACAGGTGGAGTGAAACTAAACAATTTCGTGTGGGAGATACTCTCTATTTCGAATACAACAAGGACCTCAATGACGTTAGAGAAATCAGCGATGATCTTGAGTTCAGATCCTGCGAACCAACTTCTGCCGTAGCTGTGTACAAGACAGGACACGATCTCGTCAAGCTCACCAAACCAGGAGTGCACTATTTTGTAAGCTTAAAGACAGGTCTTTGTCAGGCCGGGATTAAGCTTCGAGTCAACGTGCTACCATCATTAGCCGAAGACGATACTCTGCCGAATGTTCCCAAGATTAACCGCTGCAACAGGTGGTGGAGGTGGTTATGCATTATCAGACCTCATCATTAAGCACTCGGATCAACTAACTACTCAACCATGGAGATTATTAGTTTTAATGGGTTTTTTTTTTGGTGTTATTAAGAGGTTTTGGTTTTCTTTTTATTAGTCGTTTCGTGGTTGAAATACAATTTGTTTCGTTTTAACTTTTTATGTATTTTTCTTAAATTTTAGACGTTTCTATTTATTTCGATTATGAGAATGCTCATAGTGTTATAAACATGATCATGTTCCACACAACACATGTCCATGTGTTAGATTCTGAGCAGTGTCAACAAGAGACATCTCTATGATCTATCGCAAAAGAGTTAGTGCTGGTCGTAACATCCATATCACGTTTCGGAACTGTGATATATCATTCTAACAGTCGAAGATTCCAAAAAAAAAACTCTGATTTCTAGACAAAAAAAAATCAATGAGAATCTAAATTATAAATCTTGAAGTTTTTTTTTCTTTTTAAATTAACACTTGCATGAAAGAATTCACATGGCCAAGCACATATTCATAAAATAGCTTCTTCTTAAGAGTTAAGACCAATATTACCTAAGACACTTAACAATGCAAATGAAAAAAGAGGGTATTTCCCAGTTTTTATCTTAAGCAAACCAAACTCTTCCCCCTACAACACAATCATATACAAATCTCCTCTCTCCCAAAACTGAGATACCACAATCCATATGTATGAACAGTAGATCGCTCAGAGTTTCAGACAACTAGAATAGTTAGAGTCTCGGAAGATTGTGATGAATGGTGTCCTAGTACTACTCTGTGCCCGGCATTTGAACCATCATATTCGAAGCCTACAATCACAAATGAGTTTAATCAATTACCTGCATACTTATAGATTAAAAATACCACTAATGCTTCAAGATGCTCAATACTTTTGTAGCATGTCAGTTGCAGCAACATATCAGGGCTGATCATATTTCATGTCTTCGATCTCGTGTAGATTTCAGAAAGTGGATATGCATATATGACGTTTCTATCAAAGTTGTTAAATCTTTTAATCCTGTTTAACATTTTCTAGTTTCTCCTCTATGTGAAGACTATATTAATATAAGTATTAACCTCACTTACTTGAGAGTTTCCATAAGGACCCTGTGAGAATGAACCTTGTTGAGGAAGCTGCGAGAACTGTTCAGAAGGTAAACGATAAGTAACAAAGTGGAAAAAGACAATGCCTTGGTAAAATGACCATGTCAATTGGAGAAAGATAGAGTCATTACCTGGGACACTTGGCTTGGTTGGCCATCTCTCTTTCCACTTGATTCCCCGCCTTTTCCTGATCCTTTAGTGTCACCCTGTCACACAGATATCAATGGCAGAAGGTAGCAAACAATCCTAATTAGATACAATCATACAAGATATGCCTCAAAAGAAGGATCCAAAGATAAAACTGGACAAACAGAAGGATTGCGATAATCTACAAAAAAAAACTAGCGAGAGAAATAAGTGAAAGAGGAGAACCACTGACCTCCATCTGCAGATTTTCAATCCATATAGCATAGAAGGAAATGAAAAGGAAATACAGAGAGTCAGTGAGTGAAAAGCACAAATAAATCGAGATGCAGAGTAGTATCAACAAAATTTCACAGCAGAGTAATATTAACAAAATTTCACATATAACTAGGAGCATCAGAAATTGACTGTATCTTCTGCTGAAGTGGAACATACCTCTCTGTATCTCATCAAGTAAACCTTCAAGGGTTCAATGTACTCTTCAAAACCTAAAGTAGCCATTGCCCAAAGCAAATCATCTCCATTAATGGTCTTCCTTTTCTCTCTTTGGCACTTATCACTCGCTCTGCATATCAAAATAAGCACAAACATCATGAAGCATCATACAAAAAACAGTAGAAAGCTAAGCAAATTGAAAAACCTGATTTAACATAATCCTAACATAACAACACCAATATGCATCAACCTAAACGGATGAGGCTTTTGCACACTATAACCACAAAAGCACTAATACTGCAGAAGTACAAGCTTACACCTACCAAAGCCAAACACAATCTACAGAACAAAAACTAAAAATACAAAATTTCGGAAAAGTCAAGAAAGCCCATTACTCGCTGGTGACGAAGCTGATGAATTCAGAGACACATTCCTGCATAGTCTCTTTAGCATCTTTGGCAATTTTGCCATTAAGGGGTAAACCTCTCTTCATGATACGGCTAATGTTAGCGATCGGAAGAAACCTGTCCTGCTCACGAACATTCAACGACCTCGGGCTCTGATCTCCGCCACTCTCATGGCTTCCACCACCACCACCGGTCTGCGATTCAGCCATCTCAGAAACCCTAATTCTCCCACAACAACAATAAAAACACCCAACGACGAAGATAATCAGAGACTTCGATCGGGAGGATCGAGGAAGCAACCCAGAAAGCGCGAAGAAGTGATGATTACCTGAAGAAGAATTCGAAAAAGAGCGGGAGACACAGAGAGAAAGAGAGAGAGAAAGAGAAATGTTGATTGGAGGAGGAGACGGAGAAGGAGAGAGAGATTTGATCTGATCCGACGCTGGAGAAGAGAGGAGTTTGTCTGCGATTCGAAGATTAGGGCTTTTTCATTTTTTTATCGACACCGTCCATTTTTTTTTTATTTCTTCCCATTTTTTTCCCCCACTGTTGACAAAATAAAAACCAAAAAAAAAAAAAAAATTCAACAATATTCATTTTTAAAAAAAATATTTTTCTAAACAATATTCATTTTTCTAATTAGGTGAAAAAGTAGCAACAGAATATGGAATATTTAATTTTTGTATGATATATTATTTCTCCCTACTTTATTATTATACACTTAAGTACTTTTTTTTAACACTTAAGTACTATTTTAACACTTAAGTACTTAAGCATCTAATTTATCAAACAGATTTTTCTTTATACTATGTAACTTATCTAAATAGTTGTTACAGATAAGTGATTTGCTCAGTAAATTAGTAATGTTATTTTGTATGTGATTGACTAGTCTAATTTAACCAAATGAATGTGTGAGACCGGTTTTTTATGTTATATTTATCATTTTAAACAGTTTTTATTGTGTCGTCTAAACTTAAACGTGTAAAAAATAAACACAAATTTTGCAATAAACCTAGTAGTGAAAGTGAAATCACTTAAAATCTAAAAATGGGTTATTAGATTGTATAGAAAGGGTGAATTCTCAGCCATAAAAAAAGAAAGTCAAACCTTTTCATGAAGTGGATTTGGTTGTCCATCACAAAGACAGTCCGGTAGGTCCTCTATAGCGTTGAGTGCGCAACAAAAGAACAGTTGACGGAAGAAAATGGCAGAGAGGAGTCTCGAACAACTGAGAGATCATGATGTGGCTTCCTTACAGTACTTTCACATTTCTACTTTTACATTCTCTATACATATTTTAAGAGTTCTTAGTTTTGGTTTACAACACTCTACAATCAACTTTTACAATCTTGTAGTTTGTGGACTTTGTCAGTTTTTAGATTCATGTAACCCGGGTCGAACAAGGGACCTTCATATATACTCTCTAGTCTCTAGAATTTGTCTTTAGTGAATCAGTCCAAAAAAAGAAAATAAAATCTGAATAAATAATCATAATTAGTACTTCTCTGCAAATTGTGTAAATACATGTTTTCAAGAATCCAGATGGTCCGTAGCAGTTTTAGAAAAGAAATCTGACAAGTAGGGTAATAATTTCAAGTCTTGTATATAAAAGATATCATCACTTTAACAAAATACAGTTTTCATCAACAACAAATGTGGCAACGTTAACAACAAGATCAAATCAAATCGAAATTTTGCAAATTTACATAACAGCAATAATGCCATTTCTCAAATTCTATTATAAGGAGAAAAAAAGAATCAGTATTATTATTAGTATTACTTGTGGTTTTTCTTGAGTAACACACCAAACTTCTTCAACATTTTGCTAGTCTCAATAGAATCTGTTCTCTCCTCATTATTGTTCAGTATAGATGCTGCTGTCTCCGCAGCTTTCCTCCACTGCTCACACTGAACCTTCACTCTTCTAAGCTCAGCTTCCATGGCTTCTGTGTTTGCGGTTTCCACTTTCTTCTCCATTGCACTCTTTAGAATCTGCAACTCCATCTCCTTATCCATTAAACTCCCTCTCACTTCCATCAAATCCGATTCAAGCTTCTTCATATCGCCTGTGAAGTCATCTTCTTTCTTCTTATCCATTAACTGTTTGCGCAAATCTTCGATTTCACCTTTGGTTCTCTTCAGTTCTTCCATTAACTCGGACTCTCTCAGTGAATATCTTGACTTAACCGCCTCTGTTTGTTCGTAAGCGCTTCTTATCTGCAATGTGCTCTGTATATACTCTTCTTGGTACCTTGTCTCTGCTACTTCAACTGCAGATTTCAGTTGGCTAATCTCATTCCTCGCAAGATTCATTGCTTCTTTCAGCTCTTCCACTTCCATTGATGATGATGAGCCTCTGCTGTTTGCTCTTTCTTCCTCGAGCTGTCTAACGAGTTTCTCCAAAGACCTTGCCTCGAATCTAGACTGCTCTAGCTCGGACTCGGACTCAAAGAGCTTCGATTTCAGTTTCTGAACCTCGTTAATGGCAGAAGACAAAGCAGCTGAATCCATTCCATGTTGTCTCTGCATAGATTCAAGCTCAGACTGCCATGTCCTGTCTCGCTCCTGTGAGAGTTTACGCAGCTCCTCAATTCTTGAATCTTCGGAGGCATTGATCTCCATTAACTGATGCTTGGCATCTTCAGCTTCTTCTTGAGCTTCCCTCTTCAATGCTTCTGATCTGTTTAGCTCTTCTTTTGCCTTCTTGAGCTCTTCTTGAAGCTGAGATATCTGAGATTCAAGTTCCGGTATCCTTCCTCCTGTCCGCTTCTTCTGAATCTTGAAAAGCAACAACCATACATTTCAAACTCGATCACACGACTGAGTTCTTTACAATATAATTAACATATATACAACTTGTATACACAACAAAATCAACAAACATTAACTGCAAAAGTACCTCATTGAGAGGGATCCTTGGAGAGCGACGATCAGCTACTACTTTCGGGATTTGAGTTTTCGATAAAGTCTTGGCTTTTGGATCGGATTCTGCTCCGCTTGGCTTGAGTCTCCGAGTAACTTTGGGAGCTGGTAAAGGAGACTTCTTCTGTGGCAGCTCCAATGATCCCGGCCTATCACACACAATTATTACAATCACAATCGCATTGAAACAGATCAAAAACTCCAAGAGCATTCACAACAAGAACAGCAAAGTTAAGAGTTGAGATGCATCACCTTGATTTTGGAGTCTGCATTTTTCTGAGATGAAGAGTTTAAAAACCTTTTCTCTTTTAGGAAATAATCAATGGCGTTATGATTGCTTGTTTGAAGAATCTGACAAATAATACATGACGACCAATTAATTGTGTGAGAAAGAAGCAACAGAGTAGAAAAAAAAAAGATTATCATAAACATATAGACAACAAACTCAAAGGAGATAGATAGAAAGCTTAAGCAAGTGTAGAAGAAAAAAACAAACACAAGGATACAGATTTAGCTTCAAAGAGACTCATAGTGCCACCAAACGAAAGCAAAGGACACAGCAAATGAATATAAAACCTTTTGAAAGTGTATTTAGAAACAAAGTTGCCGTCAGTGTGATCTATCAAATCCCCTCCCTCAAAGATAAACCCTATTACAAGCAAAGAAAGCACCAATATCTTCCACATAATCTTTTTTGGTTTTTAAAGTCACCAATCTTTTTTTTATATTTAAATTAATTTTTTTTTTTTTTTTGGAATTATTGGGGAGAAGAGACAGTTTCTTGTCATTTTGTAATGTGAGATTTGGTCTCATTGGGTGGATCTTCCCAAAAAAAGAAACATATAGATCCAAACACAAACTACCCAGAACAAAACTAAAATTCGGTTTTAACATACTGTATGTCTAAAAACTAGAATCTTTTTAACATTCTCTGCAAAAAGGGTTTTTACATAAACACAGTTTTGCTTTTTGCAGGAAAAAACACAAAGATTTGACTGAATCTTTAAGCTACCAACCAAAAGAATAAAAGAGTTAGCTGATTTGAGTAGACGAGAGATGTTAAGCAAATTTAAACCTTAAACCAACCAAAGATTTACACTTTCTACAGCAAATTAGTAGAAAACAAACTAGTAAGCACCTTTAAAAGATTGATAAACTTCTTCGGAAATGAAGGGGAAATAGAAAAATATGTCACTAAAATTAAGAATAAATCATGTGAAGAAGGAAGAGAACAAAAAATTTGAGACATTGACAAAGTCGTGAAGAAATATTCACCTACACCGTCGATTTAGCTTCCTTATCTTTAGGTTGGATTAAAATTGAGAAAAACCAAAATGGAGAGAATTGCAGAATCAAGCCAAGCCACGAGAACTTTAAAAAATGAAAATTGATCTTTCAGAACCAATCTATTATAGTTGGTTTGCTCTCTATCTCTCGTCTCGTCTCGTCTGATTTTGTTTTTTCTCACTGGTGGACGGACTCACGGAGTCGTTTTTTCCCACTGAAGAAGAACATTTACTTTTTCTAACTTATTGAAAAAAAAAAAAAAATTATTATCAAAAGTAACCCCTCAAGTAATGATTATGCTGTTTCCACCTCGCTTCTTACTAATTAAAATATTTACTTACCTTGGGTATAATAATAATAATCCTTTACGTTGGATTCCTTTTTTTGTTATTCTTGCAAAAATTAATTGGATAATCAAATTTGTTTTTTTATTTTGGTTGGGGGGGGGGTTGATAAAGAAATGTGACAATAATAAATATCAGGGGCTATTTTGAAATTAAATGATAGAATGGACCGAAAAGTAGAAGAACGTGGAGGGGGCGTTTATTCAGCTACGCGCCTTGTTGACGCGCCCGTGTCACGTGCTCTTGTTTGCCCTCATTTTGCTGCTCTACTTGTTATTATGCCCAACAACAACGAACCGTCACTCACTCACTCACGCAACCACAAGTCACAAACTACACAAGGACACTAACCTAGCCTGCTTCTCTATATCTATCTATATTCAACCAGTCCGATAGCAACATGTATGTTAATAGAAATGTCGTCACGGGAATGGTTTTGCTTTTGGGTGTTGCATGTATTGAATTCAACAAAAATACCACTGAACAACTCCAAATTCAAATCCATTATTATCTTTATAAAGAATGGTACTTGGAAGAGTAGATAAGAACATGTGCCGTGTGTTGTTGTTGTTGTGACGATGTCGAGACGTTAAACATGAACACGTTTTTGTTTCCATTTTGATTTTTGTAAAGAACTCTAATTTGCGTACTTCTGTCCATCAATTACTTCAGATCTCATTGGATTCATTACTCTGATTAATATTTTGACCAAAGTGTTCAAACTTGTAGGTTTGGGGTGAAGTTTAAACGGAACTTAGTTTGGGGTTAAATTTGTAAATTTAAAAAACTCAGCACTCGTTAATTGTTTCCTCCCGCGCCATCTATCTCGCCACATCCTCCGATAAATTTTTGCCACGGCCGGCGTTTCCGATTCCTCTCCCCGTAGCACGGTGGTAGTTTCCAGCTTTATCCGTCACTAATTCACCTTCTATTTCTCCGGTTCTGATATCGTTGCAACTTGCAAAAACAAACAAGGTTTGCGTCTTTCTCTGTTTTGACTTGGTGTTGATCATGTGTGCTTGTCGCATTGATTAGTGAGCTATATTGGTGTGTCGTTTCTAGTTTATAATGCACAATAGTAGCGTTTCCTCCTGCAACTTTTAAAGTTCAAACCTTTGGCTATCGGTTCTCTGCGTGCTCTGTCATTGTACACCAACTGCTCGATAAAATGTCTGTTACATCTATTCTTTGACTTATGGTGCCTCAACTGTTGCGTTAGTATACCTTGTTATTCTCTATTGAACTGGAAACTGGTTAGTAATGACGAAAATTATTAAGTTGTGATTGGTGTGTGTTGAGCTGATGAGCTTCTAATAGCTTCTAATTCATTCTTTTCAACGGAAAATGATAACTAGCCTAACGCTTTCAACAACAACAAAAAGAATGAAACAATGGAACCACTCTGTTGCTAAAGCATTAAAATGATGTGGAAAATGTCCTCATGATTCATTTTGTTAGTCACCTTGTAATTGTGGGGACAACTGATAGAATTTGTGAACTTAACTGGCTTGGTTTAGAGTTTTCATAGAATTTGAGTGATGTATATATCTGGTATTTGATTACTTTTTTTTTTGTCTCTCTTTGAAACAGGTCCGTCCTGATATCCCAACTAGGGAAGACTGGCCTCCTGTTCACATACTTATGACTATATGAGTATTCACATGAAACTTCAGTTGTTCCTTTTTGAAGAATTTGATACAATGGATCCTATTTCCGTCATCCTCGACAAAGGGACTATTTATTATGATAGATTCTTTTGCTAGGAAGGTTAACTAAAATGGCAAAAACGTTAAGATTGGGGGTTAGAGTTTCCTTCAGCAACAGTCAGGTGCCGGCAACACCAAGTGCTGTATCAACCATCAAGACCGAAGAGTTAATGAATGATCACATAAATTCGCTATGTAAAAATAATTTCTACCGGGAAGCATTGGATGCGTTTGATTCTGCGCAAAAGAACTCAAGCTTCAAGATAAGGTTAAGAACCTACATCTCTTTAATTTGTGCTTGCACTTCTTCGAGATCTCTAGGACAAGGCAGAAAGATACATGATCACATTTTGAAATCCAACTGCAAGTATGATACTATTCTTAATAATCACATTCTTAGTATGTATGGGAAATGTGGCTCGCTGAGGGATGCTAGAGAGGTTTTTGATTTTATGCCTGAAAGGAATTTGGTCTCTTACACATCTGTGATTACTGGCTATTCCCAGAACGGTCAGGGAGCTGAGGCAATAAAATTGTACTTGAAAATGCTTCAGGAAGATTTAGTGCCTGACCAGTTTGCATTTGGAAGCATCATCAAAGCATGTGCGAGTACTGGTGATGTTGGGTTAGGGAAGCAACTGCATGCTCAAGTCATTAAGTTGGAATCTAGTTCTCATCTTATTGCTCAAAATGCTCTGATTGCTATGTACGTTCGTTTTAGTCAAATGTCAGATGCCAGCAAAGTGTTTTATGGTATCCCATCTAAGGATCTAATTTCGTGGAGCTCAATAATTGCAGGGTTCTCGCAACTTGGGTATGAGTTTGAAGCCCTGAGCCATTTAAAAGAAATGTTGTCTTTTGGTGTTTTCCAACCAAATGAATATATATTTGGTAGTTCTTTAAAAGCTTGTAGCAGTCTCCTTAGACCAGATTATGGTAGCCAAATACATGCGTTATGCATTAAGTCGGAGTTAGCTGGAAACGCAGTTGCAGGCTGTTCGCTCTGTGACATGTATGCGAGATGCGGTTTCCTGACTTCGGCAAGGAGAGTATTTACTCAAATAGAAAGACTTGATACAGCATCATGGAATGTGATCATTTCTGGACTTGCAAATAATGGTTGCGCTAATGAGGCTGTATCAGTTTTCTCTCAGATGAGGAATTCTGGTTTTATTCCTGATGCCACCTCCTTGCGTTCTCTGCTTTGTGCTCAGACAAACTCAATGGCCTTGTGTCAAGGCATGCAAATTCACTCTTTCATTATCAAGTATGGTTTCCTGACAGATCTTTCAGTTTGCAACTCTCTGCTTACCATGTACACCTTCTGCTCGGACTTGTATTGTTGTTTTAGGATATTTGATGACTTCAGAAACAACGCAGATTCTGTCTCTTGGAATGCTATTCTGACAGCATGTTTGCAACACGAACAGTCAGTAGAGATGTTGAGATTGTTTAAGCTTATGCTTGCGTCTGAATGTGAGCCAGATCACATAACCATGGGTAATCTGTTGCGGGCTTGTGTAGAAATTTCATCTCTAAAATTGGGAAGTCAAATCCATTGCTATAGTTTGAAAACCGGGTTGGTTCTTGAGCAATTTATTATAAATGGACTGATTGATATGTATGCCAAATGTGGATCACTGTGGCAAGCCAGAAAGATCTTTGATTCAATGCATAACCGAGATGTAGTTTCATGGAGCACTTTGATAGGTGGATATGCACAGTCTGGATTAGGAGAGGAAACTCTCATCTTGTTCAGGGAAATGAAATTTGCGGGAATAGAGCCAAATCATGTAACATTCATTGGTGTTTTAACTGCCTGTAGTCATGTTGGGCTGGTGGAAGAAGGCTTACAGCTGTATGCAAGCATGCAAACTGAACACGGGATTTCACCAACAAAAGAGCACTGCTCTTGCGTGGTTGACTTGCTGGCTCGTGCTGGCCATTTAAATTTAGCTGAGAAATTTATCAATGAAATGAAGTTGGAACCTGATGTAGTAATCTGGAAGACTCTACTCTCTGCATGTAAAACCCAAGGAAATGCTGATCTCGCCAAAAAGGCTGCTGAAAATATTTTGAAGATCGATCCTTTCAACTCTACAGCTCATGTATTGCTTTGCAGCATACATGCTTCTTCTGGAAATTGGGAAGATGCTGCATTGTTGAGGAGCTCGATGAAAAAGCAAGATGTAAAAAAAATCCCGGGACAGAGTTGGATCGAAGTTAAGGAACAAATTCATATATTTCTGGCTGAAGATGTTCTTCATCCAGAAAGTGACGATATATATACAGTCCTGCACAACCTCTGGTCGCAGATGCTAGATGAGTGTAATCCACAACAAAAGAAAAGACTTCAGTTTATTCATGAGACTAGATAGATGGAATTTAAGTGATGTTTATTTCTCGTCTAAGCATGAACAGAGAATGCCATCGCGTCTCAGCTGTAAGTTGCATCTTCTTCCTCCTTGCTCTTGCAATCATGTCTCATCTTCTCTGCTTGCTTAGATAAATGATGTCGATAGACCTCTCCTTTTTTCTCATTTATTTTATTTGGAATTTCCTGCAGTCTGTTGCCATGGTCTTGGTGCAGCGTACAGAGCAGACAGTGTGTCTGTTAATTAAGGCATTTGATGAGGTATTATTTCACTTGATTGCAACAAATTCTTGTTCTGTTTCATATTTTTGGTTACCTATTGAGTATTCTTGAAAGACAGTTTCCTTATTGCTGCTTACGTTATGACAATTTTCAAGAGTCTTAATGTTTTCTATTCTTGTTATATTCGATTTGCAGCTGTAGGAGAACTGATCACCACATTGGATTGCAGCACCCAAGCGGTATGGGATGGGATATAAATTCAGTGCTATATCTATGACTAAAAAAGGATACATCTCCATTCTATCTGATGAGCTGAAGTTTCAGTAAAGATGATTCGAAGAAGGCTGAAAAGGAAAAATATCTTCTGGGTATGACTTGAGTCTCCTCCCCTACACTGTATTCTTATCAAACCAGTGAAGTTGCATGCTCTAGGTGGCTAAAAAGAATGATAGATAGGGGATTTTCACGTTCCCTGAGATTGGCTGCTTTTTGATGTTGGAATCCTTGTGGATGTTTCCAGGTATGAACATGTAAAAGCTCCAAACACACAAATCTCCTCTTTAGAGAATTTTGTTACATCCGGTCAGACAATACCTATAATTTGCTACTAAATATACTATATACAAACATTGAATATGAGTACTCGATGGATCTTGATTTGAATGAACAACCAAATAGATCATCTTTATCTCTATAGGTATTTAGTCTAGCAAAAGCCAGACTGGTTTATAGGCAGCGAGGAGCCGAGGATAATGAAGACGAACAAGGAAACCGAGAAACATTTTGATAAGTTAAATGATATCAAAGATGATGAGAGAGACTCTACAGCTGCAACAAAATGTATGTATGAAGAAGGCAAAACTAGTCAGACCAAAACAATAGTCTACACTCTCCATGTGAAATCATACAGGACTCAAGATAATCCTCATTGACAGAAGTAAAAGGAAGAAAAAAAACCCTACAAGGATGAAATGTGGTAACCAAACAAAAAGAGCTTTGAACGAGGCACAACCGAAGCTAAGCTGGCTTTTTATTTATTCTCCAGGGACAGGAACTCCTTGCTTGAGCTTCTCGCGCTTGAGCTTCTTTTTGGAAACCGGCTTCTTCTTCCTTGGAGGTAGGTTCTTCTGAGCATACACATAAAGCACGTAGTTGGCGATTAGGAACGCAAGAAGCGGAACTCCAACAACAAGCAGCACGATTAATCCCGGGTTCATTCCTTTGGCTTCAGCAGCCGCCTGTGCCAATGTCAGAGACCAATGCGTTAGCATAAATGATACCATACACAAAAACAATGTATCAACATATTGGCACATATAAAGTGTAATAACCCAAATTGAAGGCAACAGTGAGCTATATTTTATGAAATCTCATTGATCCAGCGACTCAATCCAAATACGGAGAAAAGTATATATATATAACAAATTGTCCTGCAATGCATGCAACGAATTACATAACATATGATTTCCTAGGATCATTAACATAATAGCCGATATACTCAAAATTAATCACGAATCTAACCCCTAATTGCACATTCTGGGATCGCAGAAGAGGAGCTATAATGGTAAAATCATTTCGATTCCATCGAAAACACCGTTAAATTCTAACATAATCTGCAAGTCTAGAGACGATTGACGGTACCTTTCCAGCAAAATCGTCTCCGTCCATGATTACAATCCAGAATCTGTGAGATCAGCTCCAGTAACGTGCTACGAGGAGGAGGAGGAGGAGGAGGACAAAACCAGGATCTGTTTTCGAAAGAGAAGATTAATATTTAATACTACAAGACACAGACGACGAACCCACACGGAGATGATATATACACACGTGTTTTATCCACTACATAGTCACGAAAATCTTACTCAGACCCCCTTACTTTTCAGGTATTTCGATTTTAACCCGTATATTTTTTGTTTGTTGGTTTAAGCCCATAGCATATCTATCTAACCAAGGGTTGTTTAATCGAAATTGTGGCATTTTGAGATCAAAATTTCTATTACTTGCTTAAGTATTATAATGGCTTCTAAGTTTCTAAGCAATAAATTGTGTGTTCTCGTCTTACATACCTAGAAAGAGTTAAATGAATTGAATATTACAACACAAATCAAAATCTAATCAAATAATCAAAACACACAAAACACATTTGTCTGTTTCTCAACCCAATCATAAAGATCTATATCAAATGGTCATCGTCGCCTCTAATGATAACATTATGTTCCGGCACCGACCACGACGACGATCGGCTAGAATTTAACGCCACGGTATTGCAATCGGAGAGAGTGTCTTGCAAACTCAGCAACAAATGCGAAGTGCTGAAACTCATGGTTGGTCTAGACTTAGGCACAACCGGTACATCAGCCTCACCAATTAGCATTTGCACCACTGACCTCATAGTGGGCCTAGCTGCTGGATCCGGATGAGAACAAGCCAGGCCCACTACCATGACCCGCCACATCTCACCTTCATCAAACTTACCTTCAAGCCTTGAATCAGCCGCAGCCGAAACTTTCCCTTCTTTATACAAACCCCACACCCATTCTACTAAATTCGGATTTGACCCAACATTTTGTCTTTGCACATTCAAGTCCTTCTCGATCGGTCTTCTTCCACTAACCACTTCCAAAACCACCGCTCCGTAGCTAAAAACATCAGTCTTCTCTGTAGCACGACCCGTCAAAAGATACTCCGGCGCTAAATACCCCATCGTCCCGGCGGCAACAGTCGCTTCCGGCGACTTATCGTGCTCAATCTGTCTGGCCAATCCGAAATCTCCAAGCTTGGCATTGAAATTCTCATCTAACATTATATTACTACTTTTAACATCTCTATGAATCACTTGATTCTCACACTCTCTATGTAAATAAGCTAGAGCAGATGCAACACCAAGCAAGATCTTTTTCCGATGATCCCACGGTAACGTGAACCGTGACTCGAACAACGCTTTATCAAGCGAACCATTTGGCATAAGATCATAGACTAACACAATCTCACCTTTCTCGTGACACCATCCTTGTAATCTCACGAGGTTTCTGTGTCTTAAGCTTCCGATTATGGATAGTTCCGATAAAAACTCGTTCTTTTTGTCTTGTGAGCTGTGACTGCATCGTTTAACGGCGACGATGTCTCCGGTCTCCGGTAATATTCCTCTGTAAACGACTCCGAAGGCTCCGTGTCCGATGATTCGGCTCTCGTTGAAGTTCTTTGTGCCGGCTTTGAGTTCTTTGTAGCTGAACTCTTTAGGAGCTTTGATGATCTCCGATGCGAAAGAATCAGATCTCTCGACGCGTTTGAACTTTTTGGAGTAGACCCAGAACAAAGCTCCGGCGAATAGTGCTAAAAAGAAAGCTCCGGCGGTCACTACTCCGGCGATTGCTCCGCGGTTCTCTTTGCAAAAGCTGTTGTGGCAAGGAGAAGACGAAGTTTTCGATTGAGTGTTGCTAGAGATCGGTTGCGCTGAAGAAGACGGTTGTGACGCTAACGGCGGCGGAGAGTTCACCGAATTAGCTTTCGGATTCATTAAATTAGCCCGAGGAGGAGGTGACCCGGTTCCGGATCCAGAACCCGACCCGAACGATGAGCTGAAGCTCCACCATTCAATACTGTGACTCTCTGTACTTCCCTGAGTTGAACCGGAGAATCCAACGAACATGAAATCGTTCACGTATCGATCTAAATCCAGAGGGAAAGACAAAATCGGAACTTTAGGTTTCAGATTCGAGTAAGAGACTGATACGTTGAAGACCCGACTCACTCCGTCGTATTCGATCCATGAATTGATTGTGTTGCCGCTCTTGAGATCGATGTTTACGGTGCCAAGATCATCTGAAACAGAGGAGACGACGCCGTTTACGTCGAATCCCACATGGTTACTATTAATGTCTTTAAAGTCCACGTCCATTAGAGTATCGAACTCGACGGCGACGAATTTTGAACCGGAACCGGTAGGACCGGTGAGTCCAAGCGAGCCTCCGGCGAAGCCGATTGTGTTTTCGTCGGGGGCAATGACGAAAGCGAGACCACCGCCGATGGAAGAAGGGTTGACATTTGTGATTGAAAAGGAGAAAAAAGTGGAGAAGCTTGTCGGAAAGTGAGTTCCGGGTTGTCGGAATCTGATTGGGTTAGAGTATAAGACTTTTCCGGAACCGGAGTTAGGGACAGAGAGGTCACGCGTGAGGCTAACGATTCCGTTGCTTAGACGAGCGTCACCGAGGAGCTTAAGGTTACTTATGGCTAATGTGGAAAAATCAAACTCTGTAGTAGTAGCTCCATTGAAGAAGCAAAGCAAGATTGAAATGAAGAAGAGGAGTAAGAGAGACATTAACGGTGAGCAGAGAGATGTTTTCAGAGAAGAGCCATTGGAGAAGAAGAAGAAGAAGAAAAGATTCTTAATTTGAGAGATTGAGAAAGAGAGATTTGATGAAAGTCACGGGATGTGTATTGGGGCAATACTTTGCTTGGAGTAAAGTAAAGGAGAGGAAGAGACAAAGGAATAATATTGGAGAAAGATGAGAAAGCAGAAAAAGAAAAAGAGAATCCAAAGAGACAACGAATGAAGTCAGACAAGTGGATAGAGATGTAACGCCACGTGGGTGCTCCCAACGGCTATGTCTCTTTTTGTTGTCTGATTTTTTTTCCAATTGAGAAAAATTGTTGTGATGTCAAAGTGACTTTTTGGTTTTCTGATTTTCTCACTATTATAACTACAAGTAACGGTCGTCGCACTTCTGCACTTGTATCATCCATCTTATTATAGTCGTTGTCGTTCGTTGAAGCTAAAAGAGAAGCACCATAAAGTATCCAAAACTTTTTGGGTAATTGACGGATTCGTTTCTTTTTCCTTCCAAAAGCGTCCTTATGATACACGGATTTGAACATGGACGGCAATACAATAACACACTAATACACTATTGTCACCCGATTATAGTTTTTTTCCATCTAAAGTTTCCGAAACATCAAACCAAACATGTAGTTTGGATTCTTTCTAACAAAAACGGAGATAATCTACTTTTATGTCATCAAGAAACTGAACCAAAACCAAATTAAGGGCTGCCTTTCACAAAACATAACCCACGAATTCCAAAACAAAGCCTAACATTGACCATCCGAGGGTTAAAAGGCCGTAATTATTATTTGTCATCAATTGATAGATAACGGGCTTCAAAGTGGGCTCGATAAAGTTTAATGACGTCAGAACACGTGATCTATGCGTATCAGAAACCCGAAACCGAATAAACTAACCCGACCCATCAAGATCAAAGTATCTTTACCCGTTAAATCTTTCTAGGAGAATCGCAACCGTTGATTGTAATGACTTTATTAATTCGCCTCCGAGTCAAAAGCTTGGTTGTGATGGAAAACAAGTAGTTGCATATGATATATCATAATAACCTCTTTTGATTCGGTAAGCCATTTGGAGAGAGAGACCTCAGAAGAAGAGGAGTTTTGATTCTTCGGCCGAGACTTTTACTGATTTAACATCGAAGAAGAGGGGCAGAAGAAAAAGGGGAAAACAATTTCTGGGTTTTGATTTGGGTGAGAGATAACAAACCCTAAGGGGTCGTGTGGAATCGTGATCAGATGCTATTGAGTCGACGATTAGAGAAGACGAAGAAGAAGAAGAAGAGTAGCAAGCAAAAAAACACAACATGATGAACACTTCTAATGGAATGATATCTGGGCCATCTTCAACGTCTTCACCTGCGGCGAATCCTCAGTCGCCCGGAATTAAGACTTATTTCAAGACGCCTGAAGGCAAGTATAAGCTCCACTACGAGAAAACGCATTCCTCTGGTCTCCTTCACTATGCTCATGGCAAAACGGTTACTCAGGTGAAGATTTTGATTTTGGGGTTTTTGGTTTTTTATACTTTGATTTGTTTCTCTTATTGAAGTTTATATTTGTTTATATATAATTCGATTGGGAAGCATTTGGCTTTGAGATTTCTAATTATTTGAATCGGAAACTTGAGGGAATTAGTATTGATCATGGATTTTTAAGCTAGTGAATATGCATAAGAATGCATAAGGGTATTAGTTGATCAGTTGGTTTCACTAGCATTTGCTTCTCGATGATGGAATTGGGAAACTTTTGTTGCCAGGTAACTCTAGCACAGCTTAAGGAAAGAGCTGCTCCTACGACCCCAACTGGTACTTCTTCGGGTTACAGTGCTAGTAGTGGATTCCGTTCAGCAACAGCGAGGTTGCTAGGCACGGGAAATGGGAGTCGTGCGCTTAGTTTTGTTGGAGGTAATGGAGGAGGCAAGAATGTGAGTGCAAGTTCGAGGATTAGTGGGTCTTTTGCTGCTTCTAACTCTAGCACTTCGATGACAAATACAAATTTTGATGGGAAAGGAACTTACTTGGTCTTCAATGTGAGTGATGCTATTTTTATCTGTGACCTGAACTCACAAGACAAGGTAATTACTTATCTTCTTTGTTTTCCTTTCACCGATTTAGCTGAAATGTTCTGTTTTTCTTTGGATGTAATGGTTTAGGAAACTTCTTTAATGTAGGATCCAGTAAAGTCTATCCATTTCAGTAACTCAAACCCTATGTGCCATGCTTTTGATCCGGATGCTAAGGATGGGCATGACTTACTTATTGGGCTAAATTCTGGGGATGGTAATTCAAAATTTGAGCTATTATTTTTCACCTCTCATCTAGATGCCTTGTCTTATGGATTTATTGGTATGATGTGTTATTGTAGTGTACACAGTATCACTGAGACAACAGTTACAGGATGTCTCCAAGAAGCTTGTTGGTGCACTGC